GTGTGTGTGTGTGTGTGTGTGTGTGAGAGAGAGAGAGAGAGAGAGAGAGAGAGAGAGAAAGAGAGAGAGTCTTGGGGCCTCAACTTAGGGCTTGGGTGCTGTCCCTGAGCTTTATTTTTGCTCTGAACATTTTTGCTCAAGGCTAATGCTCTATCACTTAAGCCACAGCTCCACTTCTGTCTTTCTGGTGGTTAATTAGAGATGAGTCTTTTGGACTTTCTTGGACTTTCCTTTCTGGACTGACTTCAAACTGCAATCCTCAGATCTCAGCCTTCTAAATAGCTAGGATTATCAGAGCCAAGCTTACTAACTTTTTTTTTTGGAGGGGGGGACCTGGATTGGCCTCAAACCAAGATCATCCTGGTCTCTGTCTCCTGAGTACCAGTAAAACCAGGCATATGTCACTATACCTGTCAACATTATCTTTTGATCCTAAATAAAAACTATTTTGACAAAATCCCAAACCCAGTTTTCCCAGTGTTCTTAAGCCTGATTTTGAAGTAGTCACAGTCTGAGACTCACAGCCTCACCTGAGAACGGCGCCTCTGTTGTCAGGGTCATAGGACTGAGACCCACTGAGGACGATGGGGACCAGGGCGACCCTGGGGACAAAGAGGTGCGTGCCCGCTGAGATCACACTGACAGGGACCCTGGATCGCACCTCCACAGCTACGCAGTAGTTGCTGTGTACCACACTGCCTTTGATCTGCACCTGTGGGGCCACAGACAAGGGGGCGATTCACATGAAACACTAGAAAGGAAACTTGTACATCGATGTACCATCTCTATCCCAGCTAAACCAGTCACAGCTGTCTAAATAAACCACCTAGTGTGGTTCCATCAGAGGCAGGGCAGGGGCCAATAGGTGTACAAACAAAAGTATGCAAGAAAAGGTCTAGGTGTTGCCTCAGATCACAATGGCATCTGTGTGCATTTAGCTTCCAAACCTCCGTCCTTAAAAACTACCTATGGTGTTGACATGGGTTTGCCTTTCTTTTCTTTCCTTTGAGCTTCTTTCTAACACCAAAACATATAATGGTAGTTAAGAACTGTTCCAGAGCCAGGAGTTGGCCTATAATCCTAGCTACTCAGGAGGCTCAGGAGGCTGAGATCTGAAGATCTCAGTTCAAAGCCAGCCCAGGCAGAAAAAAAAAAAAGAGAAAGAAATCCACAACAAAGCTGGAAGTGGACTTATGGTATGCCTTAAGTGAAAAAGCTCATGGCCAGTGCCCAGGTCCTGAGTTGAAGCCCCAGAATCAAAAAAATCTTTTTAATAAAAAAGAAAGAAATGTTTGCAAGCCAGATGCCAATAGCTCACACCTATAATCCTAACTGCTCGGGAGACTGAGATCTGAGGATTGAGCTACCTCTGGCAGGAAAGTCCATGAACCTCTTATCTCTAGTTAAACAGCAGAAGCTGGAAGTGGAGATGTGGCTTGAGTGGTAGAGTGCCAGCCTTGAGCAAAAATAGCCAAGTGAGAGTGTGAAACCCTGACTGAGCTCAAGCCCCAGAACCGGCACAAAACCAAAACAAAACGAAAAACTAAAACAAGAAACGGCCTCACACTTGGTTTTCTTGCCATAGTTGCCACTCTATTGCTTGAACCACACCTCCAATCCAGCAGTTTTACTGGTAAATTAGAGATAAGAATCTTAACCCCATAAGTCTCAAAACTATTGCATAGCTAGGATTACAAGTGCAAGCCACAAATGCTAGGCTTAGAACCTGATCCAAGTGGTAGAGTGTCTGCCTGGCACGTGCAAGGCCCAGGGTTCAAACCCCAGGACCACCTAAATGTTCATTATAAAGCTTCATTCCATTTGAAAACACCCATTCTAACTCCTAGGTCTCAGCTTTAGTCCTCCTGGATTTTCTCTCAACAGATGCATGTGGCTCTCTACTGGCCACTCCCTGGAGTCCTTGCCTTGTTTATTTATTCATTCATGCATTTGTTTGCTTGTTTGTCTTAGACTCCTTTCTTTCCTTTCATCCCATGAAGATAACTTCCTAGCACCCTCTTCCCCTCTGCACTCCTGGGGTGCACTCACTGCTCCGTTTCCACTCTCTCACGCCCTCGAGATTCCACATAGCTCCAACCCACTGCCTAGATGGGCACTGTGTCCCTGTCCCAAATGTCAACCAGCCTAGGCTTCTGTCATTGTGAGAAGTCCCCACTGGGGCTTATGTCCAGCCCACTTCCTACCATGCACTGCACTTGACTTCATGCTCCAGGCCACTCCCCCCTCAGCGCTTCCTGACCCTGCTTAGATGGGAACCACCTCTTCTATTGCTCTTGCTCTCCATCTACCTCCTCCAAAGGCTGCGTAAGCAAATGTGCAACATCAGTTTGTCTGTACCTCCCTTGCCTGCACACAGAAGGACAGAATGAACACTCAGTTTTCTTTCTTTCTTTTTTAATATTTTTTATTATTATTATCTTTAAGTAGTTGTACAAAGAATTTCCCATTCTACAAAATAATCTATGAATACAAGAGCACTCAGTTTTCATTGAGGCCATGAAGAGTAGCCTGACCTCCCTTTCACTCATCTGGTGTTACAGATTTTCTTGGACTTTTCCCTATAATTGTTGCCCCCTCCCTTTGGTATTTAGGGCTAAGAAGGTGCTCTACCGCTTGAGCCATGCTCCCAGCCCTTTTTTGTCGGTCATGGGGCATGAACTCCATGAGGGTGCTCTCCCTCAGCTCTTCAGTTCAAGGCTAGTGCTCTACCACTTGAGCCACAGCGCCACTTCCAGCTTTCTGAGTGGTTTATTGAAGCTAAGAGTCTCATGGACTTCTCCTGCCCTGGCTGCTTTGAACCATGATCCTCAGATCTCAGCTTCCTGAGTTGCTAGGGTTATAGACGTGAGCCACCGGCAGCCGGCTTCCCCCAGACATTTTTGTTTTCATTACTTTTTGGATAGTGTCTTGTATTTTTGCCCAGGTTCAGCCTTGGACTACAATTCTTCTTATACCTCTCAGTAGCTGGACTTATAGGCATGAGCCGCCAAACCTGGCTTTTCCTTTGATTCTTTTTTTTTTTTTTTGGTCGGTCGTGGAGCTTGAACTCTGGACCTGGGAGCTGTCCCTCAGCTCTTCAGCTCAAGGCGAGCTCTCTACCACTTGAGCTACAGCGCCACTTCCGGCTTTCTGGTGGTTTTTGTTGGAGATAGGAGTCTCACGGTCTCTCCTGCCCGGGCTGGCTTTGAACCTCGATCCTCAGATCTCAGCCTCCTGAGTAGCTAGGATTACAGGCGTGAGCCACCAGCGCCCAGCTTTTCCTTTGATTCTTATAATTAGTTACCATGATACACATTGCTCCCTTCCCACTCCCACAGCTACTCTTTTTCCCCTCCTCTGCTTTTCATTCCACTGCAGCTACCTGTTTTAGTCTCTAAGTATCTTCCTTTCTTCCTTTCTTCCTTCCTTCTTTCCTTCCTCCCTCCCTTCCTTCCTTCCTTCTTTCCTTCCTCCCTCCCTTCCTTCCTTCCTTCTTTCCTTCCTTCCTTCCTTCCTCCCTTCTTCCTTCCTTCCTTCCCTCCTCCCTCCCTTTTTTTGGAGACAGGAACTTGTTATGTAGCCCCAATTGGCCTTAACCTAATAATTCTTCCGTTTTAGCCTCCGAAGTGCTGGAATCCAGGCATGCACCACTGCTGGCTCTGAGTATTTCTCAACTTCACTTTAGGAACACTCTCCCAGCATTCCACCTTTCATCTGTTTCCAGTTCTCTCTCAGTATTTTCACAGAGGAGTATGTCTCAGACTTGGACACAGTTTTTGTGGTTTTTTTTTTTTTCCATTTCCTACAACTGACAGAGCGTCCCTCACAGCATGGCCTCTGTCAGTTGTCGGGGTCCAGCTCACACTGGGGTGAGTATAACTGACAGAGCGTCCCTCACAGCATGGCCTCTGTCAGTTGTCGGGGTCCAGCTCACACTGGGGTGAGTACAGGAACTGGAAGGGCACATGAGCATGGGTCCATCCATGGCAATCAGTGCAGGCTCAGGGCTCCGGCCTCCCTGACTAGTGCCAGCTTTCATGCTGAGGGACCCTGGGGCTGAGGGACCCTGGGACAAGCTTGAACCAAGGCTCCTGTGACCCCAAGAGGGAAAGATCCCCATTCCTCCACATCAGAGATTTTAGGGGTTCCTGCTGTGGCCTTAAGAAGCACCTCTTCAGCCAGGTCTTCTTTATCTCACTATCATCTGTCCCCAAACCCTCCCTCCACTATTCCAAGCTATTGTCATCTGCCCGTCACCCCTCCCCTGCTTTTCATGCCAGCGATCAACTCTTTAAAGCACCCCTCCTTCAAGAAGCAGTGGCCTTCTCCTTGAACCCATGTATTATTATTTTCCAGACAAAACTGAGCCCCAAGCCCTGAGCACTGAGCACTAAGCAGAGAGCACTATGCACTGGCTGAGGTCAGAGCACCCTGTAGCTTAGGCAAAGTAGGTATACAGGGAGGTTTTGTTAAAAGATCTAGAAGGAAGTTCAGCACCTGAATTTCATGCCTATAATCCTAGCCACTCGGAAGGCTGAAATCTTAGGACCGCGGTCGAAGCTAGCACAGGCAGGAAAGTCCATGAGACTCTTATCTCCAATTAACCAGCAAAAAGCCAGAAGTGGTTCAAGTAGTAGAGTGCTAGCCTTTAGCAAAAAATATACGAAACAGCACCTGACCTTAAGTTCAAGCCCCAGTAATGGGGGGAAAAAAATCTAGGAGTCTTTTTCATTGCTTACTCGGCAAACATTGGAACATAGGTTCTCCCAGGAAAATGAAACACTTTTCTTAAAATCCTATCCATGCCTTAAAAAAAAAACCTTTTGTTAGAAGAGGCTCAGGGTTAGAATGCAGGCTGGTGGAAAGTCCTGTGTCCCTGGGCCAGCAGGAGGGGAGGGGAGCGGGCTGACTTTGACTGACCTTCGCAATGGCGGTGTAGTTCCCACACTCCAGTGTGTAGCTTGGCAGCAGGATGGTCTGTCTGTGAGTGTGGATGCCAGCAGGGAGGACAACAAGAGACCTCTGGGAGTCTAGAAAGTTCCAGGTGTAAGAAAGACCTTGGGAGATGTCACAGAGGACAGCAGCTTCAAACGTTACTTCCAGTCTCAGGGTCTGAGACCGCCATATCTGAGGATCAACATGAGAAGACATCCCATCATATCCCTCCATGTACAGCAATATTGTCAACAACTAGAGACATTCAGGAAGAAATCCTCAATTATTTGTTTGCAAAACTATAGGGTGGGACTATAGATCCACCCGAATAAATATTACATTTATTTTATAGATAAATGTAAAAAGTAAAAATCTAAAAACAAGAGAAATCATAAGCTGGGAAGTAGTGACTCACTCCTGTAACCCTAGGTAGGAGTGAGATCTGAGGAAGCTGAGATTGTGGATCAAGGTTTGAAGCCAACTCAAGTAGAAAAGTCCATGAGATTCTTTTTTTGTTTTTTTTTGGGGGGGGTCCGGTCATGGGGCCTGAATTCTGGGCCTGGGCACTGTCCCTCAGCTTTTCAGCTCAAGGCTAGCGCTCTACCACTTGAGCCACAGCGCCACTTCCAGCTTTTTTCTTTTTTGCTTATGTCGTGCTGAGGAATCGAACCCAGGGCCTCATGCATGCAAGGCAAGCACTCTACCACTGAGCCACCTTCCCAGCCCCTCCATGAGATTCTTATATCTGAGTAATTAGCAAAATCCTGGAGATGGAGCTAAAAGACAGTGCCTGACCTGAGTTCAAGCTCTAGTGTATACACACACACACACACACACACACACACACACACACAGAAAAAATGTCTATAGTTACATATACTAAGGGGAAAATGATTCTTTGTAAGAACAGAATTAAAGGGATAGGAAGGTAGCTCAGTGGTAGACTGCTTGCCTTGCACGCATGAGGCCCTGGGTTTGATTCCTCAGCATCACGTAAGCAGAAAAAGCTGAAAGTGGCGATGTGGCTCAAGTGGTAGAGTGCTAGCCTTGAGCTGAAGAGCCCCAAGCCCAGAGTTCAGGCCCTACAACTGACCAAAAAAAAAATTAAAAGAAAGTTATCAAAGAAGATTGCTAGATACTATTACATAAATATGTAAACTTCTGAATATCAAAATGTGCATTCAGAAAAATAGAATGAAAAAGAAAAATATCTGTAATATATGACGCAGACTTGCTTTATCATTTTTCTTTGCAAAAACATTCAAAAGTCTTTCTCAGAGACCAGAACCTTTGAATTGTACTCTCTCTATATATATATCAAACAATCTTACCTTATCTCACCTCAACAATTAGCAATGATTTGTTTCTTTTTTTTTTGTTTGTTTGTCAGTCGTGGGGCATGAACTCTGGGCCTGGGTACTGTCCCCTCAGCTCTTCAGCTCAAGGTAAGTGCTCTACCACTTGAGCCACAGAGCCACTTCCAGTTTTCTGGTGGTTAACTAGAGATACGAGTCTCACGGACTTTCCTGCCCAGTCTGTCTTTGAACCATAATCCTCAGATCTCAGCCTCCTGAGTAGCTAGGATTACAGACAGGCATGAGCCACTGGCACCTAGCTGGCAGTGATCTCTTAATACAAAACTACATCATAATAAAATTTCTCTGTCTCCAAAATACATTTGTAATTGTTTGATTTCAATGAACCAAGGTTTGTGTAGAGAGAGAGAGACAGAGGGAGAGAGGGAGAGAGAGTGTGTCTCCCTTGATGTAAACCTGTCCCTTCCTGTCATGCTGTCCTTTTCAAGCTCATTTTGCCTCATCTTATCCTCTGAGAACATACCTATTGCCCCATCTCAACACCAAGCCTGTGCCCTCCTCAACACCAGGCCTGGCATGACTCAGTGACGCTTTGCCCCCAGCATGGAAAATAATCCAGGCCAGAGGGCATCAGGATGGAGATTCTGCCCTGTTCCTGCAGGGTGGCTTTCCAGGCCTGATGCTAGCTAGGTACATGGGCTCCTCCTAGAGGACTTTCTTCTCCTTGAAGTTTCCATTAGAATTAAGCAGGAAATAATCTCTTACTAAGTGGAATTTTAAGAAACATTGGTGCTCATTGTAAAGTGGAATTTTACTTCTGTCCTCCCCTCCCCCTTCCCCCTCCTCCTCTCCCCCTACCCCCCTCCCTCCTCCATTGTACAGGTCCTGGGGCTTGAACTCAGGGGCTTGAACTCAGGGTCTGGGCACTGTCACTTTGTTGAAGGCTAGCACTCTGCCACTTTACTTTTAGTTTAATTTATTGGAGATATGAGTCTCATGGACTTCCCTACCTGAGCTGGATCCAACCTGTTTAATTATTTTTACATTATTTATATGATTTCCACTTTGAATATGATGCCATTTTAAGATTTTTCACAAAATTGTTATGTGCTATAATACTGATTATAATTTGTATTATACATACATTATGCATGCATATATTATACATATATTATAATATAAATTATAATATTATAATCATAATGCCAATCACTGTAAGAATACTTATCAGTTCATTAACAATAATAAACATTAAAAATATATAATATGCTGTGGGGGTGAAAAGTGATTCAGATCCCTGATACACTGGGTACATAGCTGGACAATGGCTGGGCTTGTCCAGGTCCTGACCTGTCCCTCAGCTTTGTCACATGCAGGTGTCACGCCTACAGAAACACAAACACACAGAAAGATGTGCCTACACAACATCATTGCCAAGTGTCTTGTAAAAAATGGGAAATCTTGCCAGGCCCTGGTAGCTCACGCCTGTAATCTTAGCTACTCAGGAGACTGAGATCTGAGGACCTCAGTTTGAAGCCAGCCTGGGCAGGAAAGTCCCTGAGACTCTTATCTCCAATAAATCACAGAAAAAATCTGGAATTGATGCTATAGTTCAAGTGGTAGAACGTTAGTCTTGAGCAAAAAGGAGCTTAGGGATAGTGCCCAGGCCCAGAGTTCATGGCCCAGGACTAGCAAAAAAAAAAGAAAGAAAAGAAAAAGAAAAAAAAAGAAAGGAAGAGAGGGAAGAAGGAAGGAAGAGATGAAGGAGGGAAGGAAGGAAGGAAGGAAGAAAGGAAACGAGGAAGGAAAGGAGGGAGGGAAGGAGGAAGGAAAGGAGAGAGGGAGGAAGGGTGAGGGAGAGAGGGAGGGAAGAAGGGAGTAAAGCAGGGAGAGGGAGGAAGGGAGGGAGAGAAAAAGAGAGGGGAAAGAGAGGGAGGGAAGGAAGGAGGGATGAATCTGGAAATCACCAATAGTCAATAATCACATTCAATAATCACAATGTGTAATTTGTGTTTATGATTTAACACATGCCGCCATGGAAATGGTATAATCAAGACTCTGTGTGTGTGTGTGTGTGTGTGTGTGCATGCGTGCGTGCGTGCGTGCGTGCGCGCACGCGCGCGCACGCACACCAGTAGTGAGGCTTGAATTTAGGGCCTCATATTCTCCCTTGGTTTTTTGGCTTAAAGCTGGTACTCTTGTACCATACCTTCACTTTGGCTTTTTGATGGTTAATTGAAGAGGAGTTTCAGACTTCTCTGCCCAGGATGGCTTTGAACTGAGACTTTCAGTTCTCAGCTTCCTGAGTAGCTAGAACTACAGGCAAGAGCCACAGCACCCAATAAGAGAAAGTGGTCACATGACCTCCCAATGATCCCAATTGTGTGACAGATACACATTTCCTCTGCATACAATAAGCACTAAAAGAATACTGAAAATCAGTATGTGGGGTGGTTAGATCACTACTGATCTTCTGTTGCTTATATTTCAGCCAATTTCCATGATCTCCCCTGCATATTCTGGGGTGCAAGACAGGACAAAGACCCAGCAGCTGCCTTCTCCAGACTTCCTAACCATCACAGAAAGCATTCTGGCAAATGTTCACTCATTGGTTTAAATTCCTATGTGAGCACCTTTGCCCCCAAAATGAAAAAATATGCTTTGAATCAAAGACATCAAAAGGAACATAAAAATTTTAAAGCCATCCTATTTCCCCTAACCTACCTATTATTGGTGCTCAACAAATACTTGGTTTTTTTTTTTTTTGTGCCAGTCCTGAGGCTTGAACTTAGGCCCTGGGCACTATCCTTGAGCTTTTTTGTTCAATGCTGGTGCTCTACCATTTGAGCCACAACACCACTTTTGGCTTTTTCTGTGATTAATTGGAGATAAGAGGCTCACAGACTCCTGCCCAGGCTGGCTTCAAATCTTGATCCTCCAATTTCAGCCTCTTGAGTAGCTAGGATTACAGGCATGAGCCACCAGCACCTGGCTAGTCATTTAATTTTCATTTTACATTTTCTTTAAAACATTACAGATCACTGTCCAAGAAAACAAAACAAAAGCCCTCAAGTGCGCTGTGCCGGACCCCAGAGTCGCACAGGCAAATAAAGGACTATTCATACACAAGAAAACAGCCTCTCCCTCACCCAGGCTCCCCTCAGTCCCCAAAGCAGCCCAGATACTCCAAAGCCCTTACAGAGGTTCTTTTGAGGCTGAACTCCACAAAGCCCCCTTCACTCCCCACAGAGCCCAGGTCCCAATCCTGGGTTTGACTGGGAGGCAGCGAGAGAAGGAAGTTGGAAAGCAGCCCCAGGCCCTGGCCCTACCTGGACCTTGGCAGGCCCCATGTTCTTCACTGGGGGTGGCTGGCAGGGCTCCCGCACGATGAAAAGCTGCTTTCTTAGGACGGCAGAGCTGACGTTATTAAAGGCCAGGACCTCCACTCTGAATTCTCCCTCCCTGGAAGGGGAAAAGCAGAGGAATGAGCAGATGGAGCTGGCTGCCCACTGAGCCTCATTCACTCAGCAAGGATCTATGTGGTTCTGTGTGTGTAGAAATACTGGGGCTTGAACTCAGGGTCTAGGCTCTGTCCCTAAGCTGTTTTGCTCAAGGCTAGTGCTCTACCACTTGATCTACTGCTCCACTTATACCATTATTTAAATTTTTTTATTGTGAAAATACTGTACAGAGGGGTTACAATTACATGGGCAAGATAATGAGTCCATTTCTTATCAAGCATTGTAGCCTCCTCTTTTGTTTCCCCTTCCCATCCCTTCCCATCCTCCCCCCCACACCCCCTCCACTTTTACTTTTTTGCTGGTTAATCTCACAGACTTTCTTGCCTAGGCTTTGAACTGAAATCTTCAGATCTCAGCCTCATGAGTACCTAAGATTACAGGCATGAGCCACCAGTGCCTGTCTGGCTGTCTGTCTGTCTGTCTGTCTCTGTCTCTCTGTCTGTCTGTCTCTGTCTGTCTCTGTCTATCTCTGTCTCTCTCCCCCCCCCCAGCCCTTCTCTCTGTCTTGTGGAAGACAGTATTGTTGTTTCAACTCAAGCCTCTCACTTACTAGGCAGGGGCTTTACCACTTGAGCCATGCTTTTTGCTTTAGCTAGTTTTGGTGTTTTTTTAAAATAAGGTCTCATGGTTTTGCCTGGCCTGGCCTGTACCACCATTCTCTTATTTGTCCCTTCTGCACAGCTAGAGTCACAATGCACCTAGCTTATTAGTTAAGATGAGGTCTTAACTCATTTTTTTAAGGCTCGGCTCAAATCAAGCTTATCTCAGCCTCTGCCTCCTGAGTATTTGGGATTATAGGTGTAAACCACTGTGCCCAGCTTTAAGGATCAGACTTCTGGACTAATCTCTTAAGGCCTTGCAAACCCAGGAGATTGAGATAAGTCCCCAGGTAAGCTGGCCCTCCATTTAGGCCCCAGGGATGGTGAAAGGGCTTCAGCTGTGGAGAGGCAGGGCAGGGGGAATGTGGAAAGGAGGCAGGATGTGCTGACTTGGCAAATTCTGCAAAATGGCTTCAAGACTTTGAAATTTGAACAGAAAAATAGGTCCATCAGAACATCACAAATCCAACTTTTCCTTTCTTTTCCTTTCCTTTCCTTTCTCTTTGTGTGTGTCCTAGGGCTTGAATGGCAGGGTCTGGACACTGTCCCTGAGCATTTTTGCTCAAAGCTAGTGCTGTACCACTTGAGGCACAGCTCCACTTTAGCTTTTTGGTGATTAATTGAAGGTCAGAGTCTCACAGATTTTCCTGCCAAAGCTGGTTTTGAACCATGATCCTCAGATCTCAGCCTTCTTAGTAGCTAGGATTACAGGTGTGAGCCAGGCAAATTCAAGTTTTCTAAGACCAGACTGTCACCTGCCATCTTGCAGCTTCAGAGAGGAAGGTGGCACGCCTACTGAGATGAAGGCTGGGAGAGGTTTGACCCATGCCCTGTCATATCCAGAGGCTGGGACAGAGATCCTGGAACCAAAAAGCACAATCCCAGGCCCCTGGGCTCCAGACATCTGCTGAGCACACACCAATCCATCAGGTACTATTGCTCAATTTCTTGCCTACCTGCAAGTCTATTTCCAATAGAAAAGTCCCAGTGGGCTTCTCTAGGGAGGACCATTTAGGAGTCCCCATGAAAGGGAGGACAGACCACAGACACAGGGGCCTGGGAAGTCCTGTATTAGAAGAAACCTGTGATCATTCCCTGGGCCTGCCCCACACAGGCCTTGCTTTCTGGATGTTTGGCACACTCAGAAATCCCTCTGTGGCAGCACAAAGATGGCTCATCACTGCAATCCTGGCTACTCAGGAGGCTGAGACCTGAGGATCGAGATTCAAAAACAGCCCAAGGCAAACACATCCCTGAGACTTTCATCACCAATTTATCAGGGAAAAAAAAGAACTTGAAGTGTAATTCAAGTGACAGAGCAGCAGCCATCAGCAAGAAAGCTAGGCAAGAGCATAAGGCCCTGGGTTCAAGCCCCAGTATGAACACACACACACACACACACACACACACACACGGAGGAATTATATATCTGTACAATTATATATCTGTACAATATTTGATAGCAATAACAAATGTATGCTATGCTTTCCTTAGTTATTTTAGAGTATACGCCTTTACTGTTTACTGTAAAATTGGTTAGTTATGTGTCAATAGCCCCACGTATCTTGGGTTTACCTAAATTGCATCAACAGGCCACATTAAATGGTTGAGCTGCACCACCTAGGGGTGGTGTTTGCACATGAACAAATCAAATAATGTCATGTTTCTCACATACATTCCATTGTGAAAGGATACATGCCTGTAGCTTCCTAACACTCCAGGTAAACAGTGGGTGCTCAATAATGACTGAAATAAATGGAAGCATCCACATTCTTCCTTCTGATGCTGAAACCTTTATAATTTGTCCCAGGTACCTCACTTTTTTCTTTTCTGGTGCCAGTCTTAGGGCTTGAATTCAGGGCCTGGGCACTGTCCCTAAGCTTTTGTGCTCAAGGCTAGTGCTCTACCACTAGAGCCACAGCTTCACATCCAGACTTTTGGTGGTAATTGGAAATAAGAGTCTCCTGGACTTTCCTGCACATACTGGCTTTGAACCATGATCCTCAGACCTCAGCCTCTTGAGTAGCTAGGATTACAGGAATGAGCTTCTCCCTTGAACTGGAAGCTCCTCCAGAGCCACAGCCCGGTTTGATCTGTCTCTATTTATTATCTGCCACCTACATCACCTAAAAAGCAGTTTCCCAAGAGTAAATACTTGAGAAGCTGATCTTAGCTGCCTCCTGCAGCAAGCTGTTGCCTATCCCACATGACTTACCTGCTGTAGATGTGGCTGGTGGAGCTGTTCCCTGAGCTGACAATACCATCCCCAAAGTCCCACCAATAGGCAACATCTGTGCCAAAGTTGATTCTGCACTCAAAGGCCACACTGGTGTTTACCAAGGCTGAGGAGGTAGACATGAGCCGATTGGCCACAATTCTCTTCTGCACCCTGATGAGATGTGGCTCTGAGACCACACTGTCCATCCCACTAGAAGCCTTGACTGTCACGTGGTACCTGCAGGATGGAGCAGGAAAGCAATGTGGGCAGGAAAGCCACATGGAAAGATACAAACACAGGGCTGAGGAGAATCTTCAATAGAAAGGCAGAGGGTAGAGGGTTAATTTGTAGGAATTATGCAAGTACCCAATGACTTTCACCTCCTGAGGATGGTCTCTCCTCTTCAACCAGGGGGTGAGCATCTTGCTCACCTTTGTGGAAAGGATGCCTCAGAGCACACTGCTGGCTGAGATGGGATTTGAACCCAGGATCATCAAACTGCAAAGCCTGTCACTTAGAATGTACTAACAGAAAGCAAATCTTTCCCTCTTGAAATATCTTAGGCCTGAGCTCAGTTCAAAGAAGTAGTCAGTGGCTTATTATACAATCATATGACACCCATAGAACTATTCTGATAGCTGTGAGACAATGCTCAGTCTGAATGCCGGCTATGCTACCATGGCTGCCCACCGTGACCACTGTGTTTACAGACCACTTAGGGAGGTGGAGCCTTCTTCTAATACTTCTGGAAGTTGTCAGCACTGGTGGATCATCTCCAAAATACCAGGAAAACTCCAGGGGTATGGTTTCCTTGGTAACAGCCACAAAGGTGATATCTGTGTCTGCAGGAAACACAGTTCCATTTGTGTAGACAGAGATAGCTACAACAGAGGGGGGAGGGGGATGTCAACAACTGAGGGAATGGCATCCATCCAGAGAAGTAGCATCCTCACTGTCACTGACTCAAGGACCAAGCCATGGGTCACAGCCTCCCGATGTGAGCTCAGGGCTGGACCAAGGAGCAGTTGCAGGGCAGGGCAGTGGGCGGGCCTGGGTTCAAAGGCCTTTGGGAATAGCTTAGAAGGCAAAATGCAGCCCCTTGGGAAATTATGCTTGGAAGGGTACAGAAGATGGAGCTGTAGATGACTATGTGGTCGTCCCCTGCCTTCCCTGTGTGGTAGCCTCAGAACCTATGGTTTCTGAAGAAAAAATTGCAGATGGACACCAGGCCTGCTGAACCAAAGGGTGGGATCTCAGGCAGAACTGCCAGTGAAACCTGTGCTGCCTACAGCGTTGGTAATGTCAGGCAAGGTAAAGGTGGGGCAGGGGTCTTTTTAATCTAGAATTGGAACTAAAACATACATTGCATCTCATACCGAACAGTCACACTGGGCCAAGGCTGGCGGCCACCAGCTTGGGACAGAGAAATAAAGGACACATTGTATGATGAGATGGATGAAAAACGATGTATTACAATAGTACCTAAAACAAGAAAAGACAGAAATATACCCATGAAATTAATTCACTTCTGTCAATATTTTCCATTTTTAACTTCCTTCTTTTTTTTTTTGTCTTTTCTTTTTTGGTACTGGGGATCGAACCCACGACGTTGCACTTGCTAGGCAAGCGCTTTGCCACTGAGCTACATCCCAGCCCTTTAACTTCCTTCTTTAAATTCCAATCATTTTGAAAATTTGGATCCTAGGCTCTGAGATAAGACAGATCTGGGGGAAAATACTTTATCACAGAATTCCTCTCATTAAACTTTTCTTTAGCTGGGTATTGGTGGCTCATGATTATAATCCTAAATACTTAGAAGACTAAGACTGTAGTAAGGATTGTAGTTCAAAGCTGTTTAGGAACAGCTTGAAAGGCAAAATGGCAGGAATGTCCATGAGACTCTTATCCAGCTAACCATCAAAAAGCTAGAAGTGGAGCTGTGCCTCAAGAGCTAGAGAACCATATTGATCAATAAAAGCTAAGAGACAGTACCCAGGCCCTATGTTCAAGCTCAAGTAATGGCACCAAGAAACAATGGCAACAGAAAAGAAATAGAACACCTGCTGCAGGTAGGTGTGGGGACAGTATGAGGAAACAGGAGGGAGTGTAAGTTCCTGTCACACTACAGTCCCTGGCTTTGGCTGTGGCTAGCCATCTGCCCTTAATGTTTCCCTCCCTCTTCCAGCGCCCCCCCACCCCACACACACACCAGCATCCGTCTACAAGGCTCATCATGGCTGCCAACTCCTGCTTCATATAGTCTTTATCCCCTCAGTTATGATAAGCTCCCTCTTCTGAAACCTCCCAGGCCCTGTCTAGGCCCTTTTCAGAGTACTTTGCTGACCTGTCTACCATTTTTCATTCAGATATGTTAATGCCTTCATTGATTAGCAATTCCCAGAGGTCAGGATCTTTATGATTCCATCTACATTGTAGCGTTATTCTCCAGTAACTATTGCATGAGGAAATAAATGATGGAACCTCAATTGGATTCAGAACTGTGATAACTTGAATAGTGTGTGTGTGTATGTATGTGTGTGTGTGTGAGAGGGTGGGGGGAGAAGTTCAATCTACATTTCTTTTTTTTTTTCTTTTGGTCAGTTGTGGGGCCTGAACTCGGCCTGGGTGGTGTCCCTCAGCTCTTCAGCTGAAGGCTAGCATTCTACCACTTGAGTGTCAAAAGTCCCATTTCCGGATTTTTCTGCTTATGTGGTGCTGAGGAATCAAACCCAGGACCTCATGCATGCAAGGCAAGCACTCTATCACTGAGCCACCTTCCCAGCCCCCAGTCTACATTTCTGGTTGAAGTCTGATTGTTCAGTGTCCAGACATGGGCCTTACTTTTCTGCTTCAGGCTGGAATTGGCAAAGACAAGGACCTCCCCCTGATGGATGCTGCTGGAATTCATGAACACTGACATAGCCTCACTGCCAGTTTTCACATAATAAGGCCCAAGCTCCACTTCCACACCATACAACTCACAAAGAACAGCCTTGAGCTTATAGACTCCTTCTGGGAAAAGAAAAGAGACATTTGATGAACTTTTAGACAGGCATCACAGTTAACAGTCAAAATGGGCAACTAGTCTGGGAAGTGATATCATAAAGGATCTTTCTTATCTCCCTTCCAGCAGGACCATTTTCTGGGAGTGTGTCAGTCCAGTACACTGAGCCCCATACTTGACAAATAGTTTAATGTTCTACTGGGTTGAAATTCTTCCTTTTTGCAGTGGTGGGGTTTGAATTCAGGACCTTGCACTTGCTAGGCAGGTGCTCTATTGCTAAGACACTCCTTCAGCTTCATAAAATTTTTAAGCAAGGGGTCGTGTATTTTCATTTTCTACTTGGCCCTGAGAATAATAGAGTCAGCCTTGTGCTGATACTTACAGTATGAAATATTTGCAGTATGAAAATAGATAGTGGTCATCTCATGGCTAGGCAAAACATACTTAAATATCTAAATTAGATATATCAAAGAATGGTTAGAGCAGAACAACAACAACAAAAAAACGCTAAACCATTACCCTTTGTTTCCTCATATTTAAAATATACCTATAAGCCAGATGCCAATGGCTCAATCCTATAATCTTAGATAATAAGGAACTTGGGATCTGAGGATCATGATTCAAAGCCAAATGGGGAAGAAAAGTCTATGAGATTCGGTTTCCAAAATAACCAGCAAAAAGCATTTGGGCATTGGTGGCTCATGTAATTCTAGCTACACAGGAGGCTGAGATCTGAAGATCATGGTTTGAAACCATTTCAGGCAGGAAAGTGAGACTCTTATCTCAATTAATCACCAAGAAGCCAAAAGTAGAGCTGTGGCTCAAGTAGTAAAATACTAGTCTTGAGCACAAAAGCTCAAGGACAGTGCCCACGTCCTGAGTTCAAGCCTAGTACTGGCACTCAAAAAAAGAACAGGGCTGGAAGTATGGCTGAAGTGGTAGAGCACCAGCTATGCAAGCAAGCTGAGTGCTAGGCCTGAATTCAAACGTGTGTGTGTGTGTGTGTGTGTGTGTGTGTGTGTGTATGAATTCAAACATGTGTTTGTGTGTGCATGAATTCAAACGTGTGTGTGTGTATGAATGTATGTATGACTATGATGTCTTTGTGGGTCCTCACACTGTGATGAATTCTTTCTTTATCTTTGAGTTGATGATCTTGTGGTCAATGGTCAATCGATTTACCAAGTTATTGTGTAGCAGAGTTTGTCCCCTCTTGCTTGTCTTGGGACCTGTCATTGCTACCATATGAAGTAGCTTGCCTGACCTGCTGAAAAATAAGACACCTTACTGAACTGTCCTATACAAGCTCCTCTGGAGAACCACCAGGCTGACCAACAGCTGGTTTATAGGTTTATGAATGAACACACTAAAACAGCCCAGATCCAAAGAACTCCCAACAGAACTGTGAACTTAACACATGGTTGTGTTTAAGGCCTCAGGCTTAGGTTGATTTAATGATAAGATTACTGACAGAATCTCACAGCATGAGGAAGGCTTTAGCAATTCTCTAACCTAGTTCCTAAATGTTAGATGATCTCTGGTGAATCATATTGCTGGATGTGGTGGTGTGCTTGTCTTGCTACTACCAACAGGAGTCCAACACAGGCAGATATCACCCAGGCACTCTCCTAGAAGGAACTAAGGCACTATCTCAAAAATAGCCAGCAAAAGACAGGGCTGGAGGCATGGCCCAGTGGTAAAAGGACTTGCCTACCAAGGGCAAAACTTTGAACTTAAATCTTAGAAAAACAGAAAGAAAAAGAAAGAAAGGAAGAAGGAAGGAAGGAAGGAAAGAAAGAAAGAGAGAGAGAGAGAAAGGGGGAAGGAAGCAAGCAAGCAAGCAAGCAAGCAAGCATATGCATAGTTAAGGGTTGACCACGCCCCAAACAGGACATGTACATGAGCCACTACATAGGAAGGCCGTTCGTATGTGTTGTACCTTTCCTGTACTGGTGGCAGGCAGTTACCATCATTGTCTTGGTCATGTTGCAGAGCCTCATTTCAGCCCGAGAAGTGTCCCCAAAATCCACCAGCAGACAAAAGGCCTCTCCAGAAACCACATGAACACAGAACCCAGGAATTAGAGGTGTCTGAGTATCCAACGCAGGAAAGCAACAGACCGCCGGGCTGCTGTAAGTATGATCAGGACCTTGTGCTGGGCTGGCCCCAGGAGGACACTGCACAAGGGGATGGATCCTCTCAGGGCTGGATGGAGAAGCAGGACAGCAAGAGATGCAAGAAGTGCCAGGGGGAAAGCCCAAGGAGCTGTGGGAGAAAAGTGGAGAAGTCAGATTTCAAGATGGTTCAGGAAGGGGTGGGGACAACAGCACGAGGTAGGCTAAGAGAGAGGGTGTGGGCAGCCTGGCCAGGCCAGCCCTCTGGAAGCAAGGCCCAAGAAACCTGGGGGAAGCCTCCAATCACTGGTCCCCACTGGGTCCTATCTAGCACATCACTGAACACTTAAGAGACAGGCACCCAATGCTGCTGGCACCTGGCTCATTTGGCTTTTGATTACTGTAAAAAGAGAAAAACATACAAGCAAACGAAAAGCCAGCTGAGTGCATGTGGCTCACTCCTGTAATCCTAACTACTCAGGAGGTTGCAAACTGAGGACTGTGGTTTGAAGCCAGCCCAAGTAGAAAAAAATCTGTAAGACTATTATCTCTAGTTAGCCAGAAAAAAGAACTGGAGGCATGGCTCATGGCTCAGAGTGCCAGTCCTGTGGAGTAACAGCTGGGGCTGAGTTCAAGTCCCAGTGTCACACACACACACACACACACACACACACACACACATCATAAAAATTTTAGGGGGGGAGGAGTGAGGGAGGAAAGGGATGGTAGGAGAAAAACAAAGGAGGGGGTAACAATGCTTGACAAGAAATGTACTCATTATTTATATAACTGTAACCCCTCTGTATACAGCATCTTTACAAAAATGACATTTAAAAAAATTTTATTTGTTATTTGCAATAACTAGTATACATCTAGAACAAGCAGAAAAGGTCAAAAGCTATGAACGTATGATCATATAAGATGATGCTAAGTGAAATGAACCCCAAGATAGTGACACAAGAGGTTTTTTATCTTTGTTGCTGTTGTTTTTAATGTACTTATAATGTACTATATGATTTTCTTGTTTCTTTTGTATGTTCTTCCCCCATGGTATAACCCTTGTTTTCACTGTATTTGATTCCAGTGCACTGCATCTTGTATATACATTTTTCTAATTTGGGGAGGGGAAGGGAAAAAACCAAATGCTGAAATAAGGATACAGGTTGAACCATGATAACAATGAGATATACAAGACACTATGTTGAAAACAAACTTTATAACTTTGGGGGGGGGTGAGGGAGGAGTTGGGAAGGTGGAGAGGGAAGGAAGGGTAGGGGAAAAACAAAGGAGGGGGTAACAATGCTCGATAGGAAATGGACTCATTACCTTACTCATGTAATTGCATTTTTGTGACTGGCTTATTTTCCAAAGCATAATGTCCTCACAGTCCAACAATGATTGCTGTTGTTTTGAAGTCCCTGTACTATGCACCATGAACTACACATCCTTATGGTATCTGCTATTTGCACCCAGCTGAGACCAATGCACTTCCTGAGGTCACATTGCTTTAAAATACTTTTTTTTAAAAAAATTTTAACATCAGGAATGGGGACTCTGTGTCTAACTCATCCCCGCCTCAAAACAGCCCTTGACTCTGACTTTGTGATTCTTCTTAAGTCCTGTGTCATTTGCTGGTTCAGCAAAACCTGACTGAGCTGTGGTTTGTCGACATACCTGTTCAGAAGAGCTGGTGGTTTTCTAGTAACAACATCAAACACAGCTTTACTACTTGTTTTCAAATTATTCTACAAGGGGAGAGGAAAAAAAATAAATGAGAAGTGCTTAGGAAAACCTGGCACCTTTGAGAAAGTAAAATTCTTCATTCCCAAAGTAGTGGCTGGCCACGGTAGCGTCCTGGGTGCTGGGTTTGAGAGACAATGCAGCAAGGAAGAGGCGAGCTCTGCAATGCTTGCTTTTGGAAGGACAGGGGCACAAAGGGCAAATGCTGTGCTGTGCCATTTTGAGATGTGATACTCTAACTGCGCTAATGGAATTCAGACTCGGAGCTGTGCCCAGAACAGAGGTGAGAGGCAGCAGAAATGGATGGAACACCCCAGCCTCGTTAGAAGAATGTCACCAAAGCCAATGGGACTGTAGTGACCTGCGGGCCCCAAAAGGACCAGAAGTGACCTCAGAATTAGTGACCATCAAGAGGATCCAATCAGGACCTTTTCTCGTTCTAAAAGAGATGGAGTGTTGTGGACAGACGTGGCTCCATCTGACCAGTGCTGTCACGGCATCTGTTTGGCCACTGTATAGTGGCTATGGGAAGACAGGGTGAAGGCGGAAGACCCATCCAGACAGGTGACAATGACATGTGCCAGTGAGGCCAGGCACCTGGAGGGCGGATGATGGATGGAGAGCTGCTGGGAGGGGAGGCCAGACTCCAATCAGTGACAGGGGCTTGTTACATGCTGAGAGCTTGGGGTAAGGGAAAGCCAATGGGGAGGCTTTGCCATCTCTGCTTTGCCCTGTGCAGCCTTCCTCGTGGCCCAAATTTCCTCCATTTCTCCACACATATGTGAAAGACGAATACTACTCTGGATTGGTTTTGCTTGTTTGTTTGTGGTCTAGGTGCGAACTTATTTAAAGCTGGCCACTCCAAGTAGCTTTTGATCTTTTCTTGCCCTGTCCCTCACAGCAACCCTCTCCTTCTTCCCTCCCACCCTGAGGGCTGAATACTGTCACTTCCCTAGGCTCCATAACCCCACCACCATGGCCTTTCTGATGTAAATGAACTTATGGACCTCCAAGAAGCCCAGACATTAGGGGCAAAAACCAACAAAAAAAACTAGTGTTACCAGATGCTGGTGGCTCATGCTTGTAGTCTTAGCTACTCAGAAGGCTGAGATCTGAGGATAAGAGCTCAAAGTCAGCCTGGACAGAAAAGTCTGTGAGACTCTTATCTCCAATTAACCATCAAAAAGCCAGAAATGGAGGTGAGGCTCAAGTGATAGTGCCAAAGTGAGTGAAAAAGGCTCTTAAGTAGCACTGGGCCTTGAGTTCAAGCCCCAGTACAAACAAAGCCCAAACCCCTGGTGTTTTGGTGCTTAGGCTGCTTGCAACCTTGCCAATGTATTGAGTCATAGGTGGAGGTGAGGTTCAGCTTTTTTTGCTTCCTGAAGGCATGCCTTCATCATGCCTTCTGGGCTCTAGCATGAAATTCAAATTTCTCATCACAGAATGAAACTTTTAGAACTACAACCCGTTTCAGCCATATAAACACCCAGGGTGTAAACGCATGCCTGATGAAATCCTGCTAAAATCCAAAGGCAGGGTACAAGCATTCTGTTCTCAGGAGAAAAGTCCAAATTTCCCTGAACATAGAGTAACCCAGTGTAGGTTAAGGCATACCTTCTCTAGAGGATGCAGCAAATATGGCGTCTGTGACTCCATAGCTTTGGCCATCCCTCCCGGAGTCCATAGAGGCCGGCTTTCCTTCTTGTCACTCACAAAGAAATCAGGATTTGGCTGGACTTCTACAGAAGAAGAAGAACACAGGTGGCAGTTGGCAATGTGCAGGAGGGTGAGGGCTGCAACGGACAAGACTCTAGGTCAAGGACAAGACCCTATGCAGAAGGGCAAGGCCACTCTGGAGATACAAAGGCCAATTATGAAGCCAGGCATCCTTGGGATACGTGCTGACCAGCTGCCCTGTCCTGTGAATCTCTGTCTACAATGACTTAGGCATACCTAAGCCTAGAGATGACCTTGGACACACCAGCCCTGGCACACAGTGGAGTGATACTCCTAGGGGTTGGATCCTGAGATGATGAGAGTGAGGGGGTTCACTAAGCGGTGGGCAGAAAAGGGGTGGACACTGTAATCCAGAGGAACAGGGGAAGGTATAAGGAACAAACAGGAAGACCAACAAGGATATCCTCAAGTTTGACACCAGGATGATCCCACTGGCCACCTGGCTGTGACCACAGATTGCAGGTGAGAAGGAAGGAAGGCCTTGCCAAGCAGACTACAGTGGAAGCTAAGAATGGTTCAGGGCTCTTGGGACACTGTGGTCTCTACGTATGTGGGTGTTTGAAAGGATTCAAAAACTAAAGAAGGCATTTCTTGCAGGGGCATGGCTCATGCCTGTAATCCTAGCTACTTAGGAGGCTGAGATCTGAGGATCACAGTTTGAAAGCCAGCCTAGGGAGGAAAGCCTGGAAGACTTTTTTTTTGGGGGGGGTCTGGTCATGGGGCCTGAACTCTGGGCCTGGGTGCTGTCCCTCAGCTCTTCAGCTCAAGGCTAGCGCTCTACCACTCTTGAGCCACAGCGCCACTTCTGGCTTTTTTTCTTTTTTGCTTATGTGGTGCTGAGGAATCGAACCCAGTGCCTCATGCATGCAAGGCAGGCACTCTACCACTGAGCCACCTTCTCAGCCCAGCCCAGGAGACTTCTATTTCCAATTAGCCATCAAAAAATATCTGGAAGTAGAGCTGGGGTTCAGTTGGTAGAGCATTAACTTTGAGCAAAAAAAAAGCTCAGGGACAGTACTGCCCAGGCCCTGAGTTCAAGCCCCAGGACTGGCGAAGGAAGAAGGAGGAGGTGGTAGAGGAGGAGGAAGAGGAAGAAGACGAGGAGGGAGAGGAGAAAGAGGAAGAAGAAAGAGAGGAAGAGCAGGAAGAGGGATAGGGGAGAGAGAAGAAGAAGGGGAGGAGCGATAAGGGAGGAGGGTTAGAAAGAACCACATAGTGTTCTCAGAGTGCTACTCTCTCTGTCTCCACCACACATCCTTTTCAAAGGGTCCTTGTCCCTAGAGCCTGATGAGTGGCAGGAGAGACTGGAAGATGATGAGGGTCAAGGAGCTTGCTCAGTTCTGACAAATTTTTTCTGATGAGTCACAAGAGAACCCCAAGACACCTTTTGCTTTCTCAGTTAGGAAACTAGAGACTTTACGGCTGCTGTGAACATTGGAGCAGGGTTTCAAGTTCACCAGGACAAGACTGGGCCATCCAGAGGGCTGTTTCAAATCCCTTACATATGGTCACCCCACTGGGCAGTGACACTGATATTCAACATCTCCTGAGTTTTCTAAGCTTCCCAGGACAATCTCTAAGTAATCTAAAGATTCTGAGCTGAGTTCATTATTTACTTTCAAGAGTAGAGTATATTAATATCATCTCATCATAATACAAGTGAAAAAAATAACATAAAGCTGGAATTCTAAGCATTGTTTTAAAATGTGTTCAAACTCCACTGGGTGCTAGTGGCTTACACCTGTAATCTTAACAGCACATCAGGCTGAGATCTGAGGATCATTTGAAACCAGCCTGGGTAGGAAAAGCCCATGAGATTCTTATCTCCAATTAACCACCAAAAAGCCAGAAGTGGAGCTGTGGCTCAAGTGGTAGAGTGCCCAGGGACAGTGCCCAGGCCCTGAGTTCAAGCCCCAAGACTGTCACACCATACACATACACACACACACACACACACACACACACACACAGTTCAAACCTTAGCTTCCAACCACAGGCTTAAACTTGGTACAGCTATGGGGAAAGATGTTTAGAAAATGTTTAAAAGTGCGCTATGAGGGAAGATGTTTAGAAAATGTTTAAAAGTGAGCCTCAGGGCTGGGAAGTTGGCTCAGTGGTAGAGTGCTTGCCTTGCATGTATGAGGCTCTGGGTTCGATTTCTCAGCACCACAAATGCAGAAAAAAGCTGAAGTAATGCTGTGACTCAAACAGTAGGGTGCTAGCCTTGAGCTGAAGAGCTGAGGGACAGTGCCCAGGCCCAGAGTTCAGCCAAGAGCCACGGCAGGACACTGGTGGTTCACACCTATAATCCTAGCTACTCAGGAGGTTGAGATCTGAGGATCACAGTTCAAAGACAGCCTGGGCAGAAAAGGCCATGAGACTCTTATCTCCAATAAACCACTCAGAAAACTGAAAATGGCTCTGTGGCTCAAGTGGTAGAGCACTAGCCTTGAGCTGAAGAGCTGAGGGACAGCACCTAGGCCCAGAGTTCAAGCTCCATGACCAACAACAAAAAAAAAAAATTGAGCAATTGTAACTTGTCTTCCATTTCTCTGATAAATCACTAAAGAAGATTGCTTTCCTCAAACAAGCTGACACATGTCTGACATTTCCTTTAAAAATAAATATTTTTAGGGGCTGGGAAGGTGGCTCAGTGGTAAAGTGCTTGCTTTGCACGCATGAGGCCCTGGGTTCAATTCCTCAGCACCACATAAGCAGAAAAAGCTGGAAGTGGTATTGTGGCTCAAGTGGTAGAGCACTAGCCTTGAGCTGAAGAGCTGAGGGAGAGTGCCCAGGCCCAGAGTTCAGGCCCCAGGATCAACAAAAATAAAATAAATAAATAAATAAATATTTTTAGGAGTCATCAGATCTATTAAATGGATAACCCAGGTTGAGAGCTCAAAATTTCTACTTAAGGCTGCACACTGATGCTCACACCTGTAATCCTACTGACTCAGGAGTCCGAGATCTGAGAATCACCATTCAAAGTAGGCACAGGCAGGAAAGTCCATGAGAGTCTTATCTTCAATTAACAATCAAAAAGCCTGAACTGGTGCTATGGCTCAAGTGGGAGAGTGCCTGCTTGGAGTGAAAATGCTTATGAACAACACTTAGGCCCAGAGTTCAAGCTCCATATCAACACACACACACACACACACACACACACACACACACACACAGTCCTTCTACTTAATATGGGCAGAAGGGAAAACACTGTATGAAAGGAAACATACTCAGTACATGACTCATGTGATTTTAATCCCTCTATACATCACATATATAACAGTAAAGTAACTTAAAAGGAGAATATGAGCAATTAACCATCAGAATTATTTTTTAATTAAAAAAAGCCAAACATGGTGCTGCACACCTAGAATCCCAGAACTCAGAAGGATAAGGCAGGATCAAGGTCAACCTCAAACTCAAACAACAACAACAACAAAACCCTAATATAGAAAATAGTTCAGTCTTAGACACTTGCCTGGTCTTTACAATGCCCTGGAGTTGATCCCCAGCACCTCAAATAATGATGATGATGATGATAATAATAATAATAATAGAAACATTATTTTATGTTTAGGAGTAAGAACCTACACAGATACTTGGGCTCAGGGAGTCACTTCCCAGAATCTGAACATTCCAGTCACTGGCCTCTGGGGACCCCATTCTAGACTCAGGGTACCCCTGAGGGTGATAGCTTCACCCTTCCTTTATCAAAGTCCAGGGTAGCCAGAGAAAGATTAGATATAGATATAGATATAGATGATAGATAGATATATGTGTGTGTGTCATGTGTCTGTGTATACATACACACACACATATAGAGGGGGGGGAGGGAGAGAGTGTTAAAATATACTACCCTGGCATGTTTACTATTTAAGTTAAAGACCCTTGAAAAAGTCTCAAGTGCAAGATCACTGTGACCTTTGTCCTGGTTCTTAAAAGCAGACCATAATAATTCCCATGTGAATAGTATTAGAAATAAAAGCAACATCTAATCATGGTCAGGAAGTTGGGACAGGAAGTTGAGGCCTACAGAATTCAGTTCCAATGGGCTTGAGTAACTAGCCCTTATCTTCCTGGGCTTGATCCATGGCGAGAGTCTCCATCCCTAGGCCTGTCATATTGAATACCTTATGCATTTATGTTCTCTGTCCAACTCCATCTATGAGTAATGGGCTTTAAATGCTTCTTTAGGTCTTCAGTTCCTTATTTGGACTGATAGACCATGTAAAATCTACTGTAAACAGATATGAATTCTCTCTCCCATTAATCTACCATATGTCAATCTAATTTGTAGGTCCAGCAGGGGCCCTATGAGGATGGAGATAAAATTTTGTTGCCTCTATATCAGCAACCTGTATTTATTGTCCCAACCCCAGGATGGGAGACCTCCCAGTGGAAGAGGATGAGCCCATAGGCTAGGGTTCAGACAGGGATTCAAACTCCAAGGTTGCCTCCCTCCAGGATGAGGCTGGGTGGGCTGCTCTACCCTCTCATTGGTAGACAGATGTAACACAGCAAGCTCACAGGTGACCTTGGCCATACTGTGGTGGTCGTACCCTTTCCCAAGGCCTTACCAACTGGTCCTCTGCAGCAGAAGGGGCTAAGCACACAGGTACAAAGATGAAGATCCTGGCTCTCCTCAGTCCTCACAGGGCTCCTGCCACAGAAGGAAGGACAGCAAGCATCCTGCAGACACCTAAGCATAGGAATAAAGGGAGGGGGGGAATGAACTCAAGCCCCATCATTAATCACAGCCCCTCCATTCACATCCACACTTCTGCCTCTGATTAAGAATGTGATAGCTTCTCTAGTCTGCATTTCCAAACGTTCCCAAATTCCTTCAGAGCAGTTCCAAATCCTTCTCATCTGCACAGTCAGATAGGCACAGAAATAACAGTACTCTGGGCACTGATTTTTTTTTTAAATTTGACCTTGTGATATAGCTGACATAGAAAAGCTGGCAGAGGACTGTAGCCTACACAGCTGGCAGATGGCAGGATAAGCTGATATACTCAAACCTGCCAGACAAGGAAATGGAGGCATGGGCTAGGACTGTGGCTTAATGATAGAATGCTCTCCTAGCATGCATGAAGCTCCAAGTTTGATTCCTCAGTACCACATGCACAGAAAAAGCTGGAAGTGACACTGTAGCTCAAGTGGTAGAGTGCTAGCCTTGAGCAAAAAGAAGCTCAGGGACAGTGCCGAGGCCCTGAGTTCAAGCTCTAGGACTGGAAAAAGAAAGAAATAAAGAAAATAAAAGAAAAAAGGAAATAGAGGTAGAGGACTACAAGAATGAGGAAATAAGAGGACCAAGAGAATGAGGAAATAAGGACTGTATAGTAAATAGGAAGGAAGTGGAAAGGAGAGCCACCAATCAGAAAGCAGTTTTCAAGGACTCCTTCCTCATTATGGAACTTAACACCCAGCTCTGTACGAGGAAGACAACAGAAGATGGTTGAAGACAGCACAAGATGGCTGTTTCTCTGCCATCTTGCTCTTCCAGTAAGCTTTTCCATCATTGTGTCCTAGGTTCTTGTTTGAATTCTTCTCTTGCCAGATGCAAGGACTCTGTTAGTTCAGCAGTCCTATACTTTCTAGTAACAAACATACTTGATATGTTGACTGGGAAGTTAGGACTTCATATGTCTTCCTCTGACTTGGACTCTGAGTAGTTATACTTGCATTCCTGTGACAAAATACCTGACATAAACAGCATAAAGGAGAAAAGATCCACCTGGCCATGATGACAGGAGGTGAGATTAGAACAGAGCAGCTCCCATTGCGGCATCGAGATAGCAAAGAGACAGAGAAGGGTGGGACCAGGACAAGACACCTGTCCCCAGAGACCTACATCCTCCAGTCTCCCAAAACTACTAGAATCTTCTAGATGGTTCATCCCAACCCCACCGGGACTTCATCTCTAAGCCATAACAATTGGATGTAATTAACATTTCTGTTGTAAGATGCAGTCGATCAACCTCTCCCAAGAACAGTACTGGCTCACCTTTCCTGGTCTGTGGAGATGCACTTGGTGTTGGCCTCTGCCACACCCTGTGTCAGGTGATCCTGGATACTCTGGTCATCAGACAAGCTTCTTCTCACACCTCCTGGAAGTAGAGGCACTTAATGTTTCCAACTTCTGTACTGAGGCCTCATATTGGAACACACATGATACACAGAGGGGGAAAAACAACCATGCTCCAATACTTTTCTAATCAGAAACAATTTTTGTTTCTCCAGCACTTATGGACAACTGTCTTCTTGGGAGGGAAAAATTATTTAAGTAGCTATCTTTTCATGCATTCTTGAAATAAATTGCTCTTCAAAGAATTATTGCATTTGAAAGTAAGAGAAATCTGATAAGAAAAGGTTGCCAATGATCATAAAAAGTCTAACTGCTTTTTATTTTAATAGGCCAAACCAGGTGCTGGTGGCTCATGCCTGTAATCCTAACTACTCAGGAGGCTGAAATCTGAGGGCTGAGGTTCAAAGCCAGTCCAGGCAGGAAAGTCTATGAGATGCTTATCTCCAATCAACAAGCAAAAAGTTGGAAATGGAGTTATGGCTCAAATGGTAGAGTGCCAGCCTTGAGTGAAAAAACTAAGCAGTACCAACATCAGAATCAGCATCATTATTATTGTTAGGAAAATGGAGGAGAATGGAAAAGGAATAGGCCAGACTTGATCATCAATGGGCAAGGACTGTTTATTGAGGAACAGTGAGAGGCACAGACCTTCCCACGGGTTTGGAGGTTGTGTCAGAGAGTTGGGACAGGCGCTGGATTTTTATAGGAGGTCTAAGCAAGGAGGCAGAAGTTAATGAAAAAGGTCAAGGAAGGTGGGGGCCTTTCATTTGGGCCCACAATGGGATGTTTACAGTTGGGCTTAGGTGGATTGCTCTGCCTCCACATCACACAAGTTCTCTCTGGGATTTTGCCTGACATCAGTATGCACCTGGGAAAATAGGGTGGGGGTCAATCCTTCAATCATGAGTCATCTTCTAGCCTGCTCTTCACAAGGTAGACTTCAGGGAAGATCCTGGGATGGGGCACATTATTTCCCTTGGTTCCAATGGTTTCCCAATGGTTTCCATTGGTTCCCTCTCCTGGAAACAGGGAGGGGCAGGGACTCCTCTCTGCACTGCTCGTCCCATTTCTTCATTTGCAATCCAGAGGCTGGGCCAGGTCCTCCACTATAAAACATTCCCCTAGTGCTTACAGCACTTGTTAGTTCCCTTAATTCCTGACATCAACATTTGTTCATCATTTGAACCTTTTCTTTCTATTTTTTGGGTGCAAGTACTGGGGCTTCAACTCAGGGCCTTGTGCTCTTGCTTGGCTTTTTTTTTCCCCCCCTCTCAAGACTGGTGCTCTACCATATAAGCTACAGCTTGAACTTCCAGCTTTTTGATGGTGCACTGGGAGATAAGAATCTCACAGACTTTCCTGTCTGGTCTGGCTTTGAACCTTGATCCTCAGATCTCAGCCTCCTATGTAGCTAGGATTACAGACGTGAAGTGACCAGGCACAACTTAAGTTTTCTTTTGCCTTTTACTTAGAAAATTAGCTAATCTTTCTAGAATTATTTAGAAATTGGAGGCCAGTGAGCTGCTCAGTAAAGTGGGATGGTTTTGGTCTGAGTTACTCAGATGGGAAAGCAAAGGGCTGCTGGGTAAACCTTCAGTCTGGCAAACACATCTGCATCCTGTGTTTACTCAAACTTTGCCACTGCTGTGTGGATTTGGGGACAAGCAAAAGAAGCCTCCGCCCCATGGAGAGTGGGAGAAACCTGCTGTTGATTTAGGCAGTCTGTGTTCTCCAGACTCCCCACCCTGCCCGTCAGCACCCCTGATGCTCACCTCATGTTTCCTAGGGTAAATCAAAGAGCTCTGGGAAAATGTGTACTTTTAGTGACATGCTTTCCTCCTCCTCCCCCTCCCCCTCCTCTTTTTCTTCCTTGTGTGTCAGTCCTGGGGCTTGTAGATTGGAGTTTGTTAGAAAGCAAACAAAACCTTCTCTAAAACCCTGTGGTCCGCTTACACCCAACCAACACCCAACCAACAAATCTAAAGCCTCATGTACAAAACAAGTCCATGAGTAAAGATACCTGCATGGACCCACTTGTAGGGGTGGGAGCATCTATACACATTCCCATCAGAGACAATGTCCTGCCTTGCTCAGGTGTCTTTCCTCTGCCTGAGGGATGTATGGAGTGAGAATGATGGCCTAAATTCAAGGACTGTGAAGCCAGTAGTGCTAACCAGGAAATAGTAAGGACCAAAGAATGTGACAGCATTAAGAGAAGAAATATGACTGTCCTGTGCAGTAAGTGAGCCACAGCCAGTGGGGAATAGTGGAATTCACTGGAAGTTCAGTAAGAATTGAACAGCACCAGCACCAGCAGTTCATGTCTGTAGTCCTAGTACCCTGGAGGCTGAGATCTGAGGATCAAGGTCTGAAACCATTCCAGACCGATAAATCCAAGAGATTCTTATTTTCAAAGAGATTTTTTTTTAAGCTGCAAGTATTGCTGTGGCTCAAGCGGTAGAGCACTTGTCTTGAGCATGAACGCAAGGGACTGTGTCCAGGCCCTGAGATCAAGCCCCAGTACTAACACACACACACACACACACACACACACACACACAAATTAGGTTTTCAGTCAGGTCTAAGCAAGGGACTGTGTCCAGGCCCTGAGATCAAGCCCCAGAACACACACACACACACACACACACACACACACACACACACACACACACACACACACACACACACACACACACACACACGGTTTTCAGTCAGGTCTGTATTCTTGGGCAAATGATACTAACCTCAAACTCAGCAACAACCCAAAAGGGCTGGGAAGGTGGCTCAGTGGTAGAGTGCTTGCCTTGCATGCCTGAGGTTCGACTCTTCAGCACCACATAAGCAATAAGAAAAAAGCTGGGAGTGGTGCTGTGGCTCAAGTGGTAGAGTGCTAGCTGAAGAGCTGAGGGACAGCATCCAGACCCAGAATTCAGGTCCCCTGGACCCCCCCCAAAAAAAAAACCCAAAAAAGAATTTGTTTCTTCGTTTTTAGCTAATTGCAGTGATTTAATTGTCAGCTGCAGTGACACAGAACATTCTCCATTGTCACTGAATGTTCTGGTGGCCTGGATGGGCTAGGCTAAACAACCCATCTCTCTTTCCCATCAGGGCTGTGACAACATGTTGGAGAATGGAGTCAGCTGATTATCCACACCCAAGGCCTGAGTCTTCCTGGTCTGGGATCTGCTGTGTGCGTCCTTGGTACAACCGGAAACACAGGACAGAGGCGGCCCACACAGAGGTTCACTGACACAGGGAACAAGCAAGCTGGAAAATATCTTGTGGAGTTTTAAAAGCAATTTCAAGTATAAATGTTTTGGACAAAGTTAGCAAAATGGCTTCTAAAACACGGTCCCTTTTAAAAGACCATTGTATAAAATCCTCATCAAGGAACCACCCAAGACTGGACAGAATCCAGGACTCCTTCTAACCTTAATAAAGGCAGAAAGGAAACTTTTTTTGGGGGGAGGGGTCCGGTCGTGGGGCCTGAACTCGGGGCCTGGGTGCTGTCCCTCAGCTCTTCAGCTCAAGGCTAGCACTCTACCACTTGAGCCACAGTGCCACTTCCGGCTTTTATTCTTTTTTGCTTATGTGGTGCTGAGGAATCGAACCCAGGGCCTCTGGCATGCAAGGCAAGCGCTCTACCACTGAGCCATCTTCCCAGCCCCAGAAAGGAAACTTTTTGCACTCTGGATAAAATTAATATGCAAAGCCAGAAACCCAGGCTGGAAGGAGTGCTGTGAGAAATCCTTCTGGAATTACCGACTTCTCCTTTGCCTTTTTTTAAGCTTTGTTTAAGCTTGTTGTTGTTGTTGTTGTTGTTGTTATTTTGGTACTGGGACTTGACCTATTGAGGTCTGGGCACTGTCCCTTTTGCTCAAGGCTAATACTCTACTACTGGAGCCACAGTTCTACTTTCAGTTCTACTTTTTTGCTGATTAATTTGAGGTAAGAGTTTCACAGAGTGACCTGCCTGGGCTGGTTTTGAACCACGATGCTCCAATCTCAGCCTCCTTGAGTAGCCCTGATTACAGATGTGAGCCACAGGCACCTAGCTTTTTTGTTAACTTATTCTTTGAACCATAAATTCTATATTTCACACTTACTGATTCCTTTTTGATGCTGCTGCCTTGATACTTTGTCTAGTTGAGCCCTGCTTTATTCCAAGGAAAACTTGAGAGATGCTTAAATATGCACAGAGTTCAAAGGATGCAAATTACCACTAGAAGGTGGTAACATTGCTTAAAGAGTTCTAATCCTTTAAGCAAAACTGCAAACATGTTTATTTACCCAACTCACAGTGTGAGGAAAAGGGAACAGGTGCTATGAAAATAGCATGGAGGGCTGAAATTTTCTTAATAGAGACCCAGAAACACCACAAATCAAAGAAAGGTTGGACAAATGGGATTGCATGGAGCTGCAGAGCTTCTGCACGGCAAAGGACATAGCTAGCAAGATCAATAGAAAGCCCACAGATTGGGAGAAGATCTTCACTAGCCATACAATGGACAAGGATCTCATATCTAAAATATACTTGGAACTCAAAAAATTAAATCCCCCAACAACAAATCCTCAAAGAAACAACTGCCCAATAAATAAGTGGGCTAAAGGGAAATAAGAAAGGCCAATAGACACATGAAGAAATGCTCAACTCATTATTTTGTCCATGTAATTGTAAACCCTCTGTACAGTATTTTCACAATAAATAAAAATTTAAAAAAAAGAAATGCTCAACCTCTCTAGGTATGAAAGAAATGCAAATCAAAACAACATTGAGAGTCTACCTCACCCCAGTTAGAATGGCTAGAATCAAGAACTCTAACAACAGATGCTGGAGGGGATGTGGCCAGATGGGAACCCTACTGCATTGTTGGTGGGAGTATAAACTTGCTCAACGACTTTGGAAAGCACCATGGAGGTTCCTCAAAAGACTTCACATAGAGCTCCCCTTTGACCCAGCAATCCCACTTTTGGGCATTTACCCAAACGATCACAAACAAGGCCATACTAAAGCTACCAGCACAACTATGTTTATCACAGCATTATTTACCATAGCTAAGATATGGAAACAACCCAGATGCCCCTCAGTAGATGAATGGATCAAGAAAATGTGGCATATATATATATATATATATATACATATATATATGTATATATATATATATATAAAATACAATTCTATGCCTCCATCAGAAAGAATGACAGTGCCCCATTTGTTAGGAAATTGAAAGACTTGGAAAAAGTTATATTAAGTGAAGTAAGCCAGGCCCAAAGAAACAGGTCCCATGGTTTCCCTTATTTGTGTAGGACAAGCAGAAAAGGTCAAAAGCTGTGTACATATGACCATATAGGATGATGTTAAGTGAAATGAACCCCAAGATAGGGACACAATTTTTTTTCTTTCTTGCTATTGTTTCTAACATATTTATAATGTACCATGTGATTTTTTCATTTGTTTGTTCCTCCCCCACGGTATTACTCCTGTTTTCACTGTATTTGATGTTGGCGCCCTGCTCTTGTATATACACTTCTCTAATTCAGGGAGAGGAAGGGAAAAAACAAAATGCTTAAGTAGAGGTACAATAACAATGAGATGTACAAGACACTATGTTGAAAATGAACTTTACAACTTAGGAGGAGGGGGAGGAGGGGAGTAGTTGTGGAGGAGGTGGGAGGGAAGGGATGGTAGGGAGAAAAACAGAGAAGGAGGCAACAATGCTCAATAGGAAATGTACTCATTACCTTGCTCATGTAATTATAACCCCTCTGTACAGTATTTTTAAAATAAAAAATGCACACACACACAAAAAAGAAAAAAAATAGCATGGAGTTCTCCAGATGGGAAGCTGGGAGCTGACCTCTAATGGGTCCCCACATTTTATGATATGTGGCTGGGGTTTCACGATATTGAGTTCCTTTTTGGAGCATGGAAGAAATATCATATTTCCAACTTAGACAAGTGCATATGTTAAATATATAGGAAAATATTTCTAGAATGATGCTTACCATGAGGAATCAACTTGGAACTCAAGGCCTGGGTGCTGTCCCTCAGCTTTTTTGCTCAAGGCTAGTGCTCTACTTGAGTCACAGCTCCACTTCCAGCTCTTTGGTGGTTAATTGGACAGAAGAGTCTCATAGGTTTATCTGCCTGGACTGACTTTGAACTGCAATCCTCAGATTTCAGCCTCTTGAGTAGCAAGGAGTACAGACATGAGCCATGGGTACCAGCCTGCTTCTCAGATGCTGACCCTAGTTCTAACTATTATTACCTTTCGACCAGTAAGCTTTGGTTTCTCACCTTCTACTGCAGCTTGTTGGAATTGAAGCATCACTATCCTCCGCCTCTCATTGTATGAACATTTGTATAAATGGACACTTGCCCTCTCATCTGCATTCTGTTTCCAGAGGAGCTGGTGGTAAGCTACTCGTAGTCTATCTTCAGACACTCTGAAGTTTCTATTAATACCCTCCCCCTCCCACAGACAACACTCAGGATCCCAACACACTCAGAACATCAGACAACTTTGGATGATTAAAGGATGGCAAAAAAGAAAGACCTTTCTAAGACCTTGGGAGAATGTGAAACTCACCATCCAATGAGCTGACCCCTGGAGTAGACTGCACCAAGGTGAACAGGGCCAAGGCTCCAGTGACTGCCCACCACCTCAGCCTCATGTGACTTGCTCCCATGGGGCCTCCTGCTCTTATCAAACCACAGATGGCTTTGAGCAAGTGAGTGCAGGTAGAAGGTCCGCCAAGGGGTCTTGATGCCCTGGAGACTGGCCTTCCCACCCTTATTTGCATATTGTGGCAATCGTCCTATCAGGATCACCACTGGGAAACAAACACTCTTCCCCTCCCCTCCCCCTCATCAAACATGGGGATAGAGTTACCTCTGGGATGTTTTTGATCTGAAACTACCGGAGACAAATACAAACCACTTTGAGGGTCAACAGTAACTCCAAGATAGCACATCGAGTTACTAAAATAGCATAGCTTTTTGAAAAACAACTGGGAGTCTTGTGACTCATAATGGAAGGACATCAGGGGACATTTTATTTTATGCCAGTTCTTGGGGCCTGGGGCGGTCCCTTCGTTTTGCTCAAAGCTGGTGCTCCTGAATCACAGCTCTATTTCTGGCTTTGGATGGTTAACTGGAGGTAAGAGTCTCATGGCTGTTCCTGCTCAGGTTGGCTTTCAACTGCAATCCTCAAGATCTCAGCCTCCTGTGTAGCTAGGATTACAGCCATGGGACAACAGCATCTGGCTATCAGGGGACACTTTAAAGTTAACTTTCAAGGTAGCTACGTCTGAGCCAACTCTGAAAGCTTTAGAGCAGAAATGTGGCTCAGTGGTAGAGAGTGCAATCCATAACCCCCCAAAAGAAAACAAAACAAGAAACTTGGTAACTTTGTCTGTCATAATGCTTGAATTATGAATGATAGCCATCTCTTCTATAAGTTTCCATGCTTCTCATTGGCTTCCAAATAAAAATATTCACAGTTCATGGGGCTGGAAAGGTGGCTCAATGGTAGAGTGCTTGCCTTGCATGCACCACATAAGCAGAAAAAGCTGGAAGTGGCACTGTGGCTCAAGTAGTAGAGCACTAGCCTTGAGCTGGAGAGTTGAGGGCCAGCACCCAGGTCCAGAGTTCAGGCCCTATGACCAAAAAATAAATAAATAAAAAATTAAAAAATCACAGTTCAATATCCAAACACTTCCATAAACTGTCCCCACCCACCTTTGGTCCCCTGGCCACCTTGGTGTGTAGAACAGCTGTCCATGCAAGTGTTCTCTCTGCAGTCACAAACAGCACTGATTGAAGGATGATCACTATTCAGCATTGTGTGCTTACTGATTTTTCCCTTCCAAAAAATACATTATGTATGTTAAAAATGAACTAAACAATTTTTGGGTGGGGATGGGAGGGAAAAACTGGGAGAGAGTGAGGGGGGGAGTGACACTGTCTAAAAAGAAATGTACTCCTTACCTGACATATAACTTAACCCCTCTGTATCTCACCTTTATATAAAAATTATTTTTAGGGGCTGGGAAGGTGGCTCAGCGGTAGAGCACTTGCCTTGCATGCATGAGGCCCTGGGTTTGATTCCTCAGCACCACATAAGCAAAAAGAAAAAAAGCCGGAAATGGTGCTGTGGCTCCAGTGGTAGAGCGCTAGCCTTGAGCTGAAGAGCTGAGGGACAGTGCCCAGGCCCAGAGTTCAGGCCCCACGACCAGACCCCCCAAAAAAAGAAAAAAAATATTTTTAAAATATTGAACTGAACAAAAAATGTTTATATGACTTACTACTGCCAAAAAGCAACGGGGAAAAGTTTATTTTAGTATATTAGCATACTATGATATTCCCTTGAGTTGCAATAGGATTTTTTAATAGCAACTAATGGAATTGAGGTAAACATGAAGTTGTTTTTATTGGTTGTGGGGCTTGAACTCAGGGCCTGGGCACTGTCCCTGAGCTCTTTTGCTCAAGGCTAGCACTCTACCACTTTGAGCCACAGCACTACTTCTGGTTTTCTTGTGGCTAATTGGGGATAAGAGTCTCATTGACTTTACTGCCTAGCAAAGATCTCAGCCTTCTGAGTAGCTAGGATTACAGGTGTGAGCCACTGGCACCTGGCAATACAAAGTTTTTTTTTAAGTGGCTGTGGTCTCATTTTCAAGGGTATTTCTTCATCTCATAATTGATCACTCTACTTGTCTTAAAGCTCAAAATAGTTGCCAGGAATTGTCAGGATCAAGGTATTGGAATCTCTGAAATATCTTCTAGAGCTTTTTTACTCAATATTCACCAGTGAAACATTAAAAATTAAGCTGAAGATATTAAATATCATGGAGATTATTTATGGCTATTGATGTTTTAGTTAATATCACCGAGATTATTTATGGCTATTGTTTTAGTTTAGTGGTATTTAGGTTCAGAGTTTAGTCTATGTGAGTAAAATATGAGTTCTTTTTTAACATTTCATTTGTGCATTGTGGAATGTTCTTCGTTTTTATGGAGAACTATGAAAATATTTTATTCTGCAAACTATTTCTAAGTTCAGTGTACAGAAAAATATGTAATAGGAATATAAGGACAAAATGTTTCCTCAAATCTTAAGGTGTTCTTTAAAATGTTTAAAAAATGCATTATGGGGCTGGGAAAGTAGCTCAGTGATAAGAGTGCTTGCCTTGCAGGCATGAGGCCCTGGGTTCAATTCCTCAGCACCACATAAGCAGAAAAAGCCAGAAGTGGTGCTGTGGCTTAAGTGATAGAGTGTTAGCCTTGAGCTGAAGAGCTAAGGGACAATGCCCAGGCCCAGAGTTCAGGCCCCACAACCAACCAAAACCAAAACAAAACATTATGATGGCTGGACAGAGCGGCCATCAGATAGCATGTCTATAATCCATTATTTAGGAGGCAGAGATAAGAGGATGGAGGTTCAAGGGTACCCAGGGCAATAAAAGACTATTTGGGAGAACAAGCAGGGTGTTACAGTTCATGCCTGCAGGAGGCATAGGTAAAAAGATTGTAGTCAAAGATTTTGCCCAATATGGGCAAAAGCATGAGACCCTATCAGGAAAACAAAAAATTAAAGTAAACCAGGGCAGAGGTATAGTTCAAATGGTAGAACACCAGCCTTGCAAGTGTGAAGCTCTGATTTGAAAAAAAATGTGGCCAACAAAAAATTATGAGTCTATTAACATAACCACAGTTGTAGTTAACTTGTTCCAACGTATTTGTTAAGAAAAACACAACATTTATATTCTCTGGGGGAGTTTATTAGGTTCTAGTGTACATAATTTTTAGTTTGATTAGTATATAACTATTTGCATTATCTCAGCTTCCTGTAGAATTAAGACTCCAAGCAACCAAAGTGTGAACCTTGGAACTGGTAGAACTCTGTCATTTAGTTCATCATGTAGTGTACACACAGGCTTACAGACCAAAACATACCGTCTGCTCTGAATCTCTTAGCAGTCAAAGCTGGACTGTGAGGAACACACCTTGTATACAAGGGCAGTCACAAAGATGGACTGTGAAGACAAGTGAAAAAACATTTGTCATGAACAGATACAGATGAACAACTACAAGATCAAAAATAATCAGAAGCCAAGCACTAGTGGCTCATGCCTGTAATCCTAGCTACTCAGGAGGCTGAGATCTGAGGATTGCAGTTTGAAACCAACCCAGTGGCAAAGTCCATGAGATTCTTATCTCCACAGCCACAAAACAGCCAGAAGTGGAGCTGTGGCTTAAGTGGTACAGTGCTGGCCTTGAGGGGAAAAACAAAACAAAAACTAAGGCTCTGAGTCCAACCCCTAAGTCCAGCACACATAAAAAAAACCCTATAAACACCAAATGGATGTGGCTACCAAAAAGGCCCAATGGACTGAGGACAGGCAGGCAAGGTAAGGGGCTGTCACTGGGCCTGACATTATGAACAGTACTCTACAATCTCCTATTTTTACATAATCACAGCTCAGCTCCCAAATGCAGCTATCTGAGTTGTTCCTCTGTTCTAAGTTGCTCTTTTTTGACCTTACTCAACCTTACCATGACAAAAACCAGCACAGTGCCTTCTCCTGAGCTTGTGTATTTCTCTGAGTTCTCCCACACTTGGCAGCTCTCTGGGATGCACAGGTGAAATCTGTGGTGACCAACAGGCAGTAGATGAGATCTGCAGCCTCCTCCTCCTGAGGCTCACTGTCCACCCATGTCCAGCCCTCAGCGCAGCATTCACTGCAGTGACTCACAGTCACTCTCTAGGCACACAAGTTTTAGAACAGAACTTTTGCATGTTATCCCATTTTTAAGTTTTATGAATGTAGTTGGAACTGATTTTTGCTGAGTCAAAGAAGCGAGGCTTTAAAAAATAAAAAATATCTTTAATAATAAAATGCTGGTTTCACAAAATACGACATCTTTCTTAAACATCATTAAGCATCAGAAATGAAAGACATTGCTTTTCCCAAATACTATGAAAAAGTCAGAAATGTTCATTTTGTTGCCCTGCCATCTACTTTTTCCTAAGGAACCTAGTTTTGACTTTTAGTGTAACACTGACATGCTGCTTATGGTGTCACCTGCACAGAATACATAGAAGCCTGATGGGACAAGGAGAATAAGAGCCTTTCAGCTGGAACTGAAGCTGACCTCAGCACTATGAACTCTATCCAGAACGACAGTGGAAGGAAGAATTACACAGAACGATACCTGAAGGGACTGGGGAAGCAGTCTGGTGCAGAGGGTTTGCCAAGCAGGTACAAGGCCTGGGCTCCATCCTGGCTCTGAAGACTTGTAACCTGGACTTGTAAGCAGGGAGACTGTGGGAGGAGCAGCAGGACGAGCTCCCCCCCAGCTGGGTGGGCTCTCTAGGCACTTGTGTCTGGCAAATCAAACAGATTTGCCAGATTCTTCGGCCCTTATCTCTCAGGGCTCTGGTGTTCAAGGCTGCTATCAGAGGTAGGAGCAAGGAGAGGCGTGCATGCTCACAGCTGAGAGCTGTTAGGCACCAAGCACTGAGCTGGAGGCTGAGCCTGGGGGAAGTAACAAGTACTGACCTGCAAACTCTGACTGGAATACCAATTCACAAGTGAGGATTTTTACATTTTCAGTAAGAACTTGCTATCTAAAGTCCAGATGTCTGGGGAAGCAGCTCAGTGGTAGAATGCACAGGACCTGATTAATACTCAGTGTCACAGAAACAAAAGAAAAACAAAAACAAAAGAAAAAGAATTCCAAAGTTCTTCTCAGTGTCTTAAAAGCAGATTAAACCCAAAACAAAACCCAGACACAAATGATACGAAGTAACAGGTTTACCCAAATTGTTTCCCTAACTTTTACTTAACTATTATAGGAGGAGAAAGAAGCAGGGTACAAGGCTCTGTGGCGCTGTGAGACCAGACAACCATCAGACTGGTCAGGGCACCATCTCTGCTTTGCCTTTCCAAGTCCGGTGCTATGGTGCTAGGACAAGGCTGGGATGAAGTACTGCAGGGAGACATCTTCATGAAGCAAATCGAAGTAAACAATCCTGTTCTTCACAAGATCTAGGGAGAGAAAAAACAAAACAAAATGCCATTGAGTTTGATGTAGTGTGCAGGTCCTGGGGCTTGAACTTGGGGCCTGAATGTTATCCTAGAGCCTTTTGGCTCAAGGCTATCATTCTACCATTTGAGCCACAGCTAAATGGAGATAGGAGTCTCACGGACTTTCCTGCCCAGGTTGGCATTGGACCTTGATCCTCAGCTTCTTTAGTAGCTAGGATTGTAGGTTTGAGCCACCAGTGCCTGGCCTAAACTACTTTAAAGACCTACTGCAGCACAAATATTTGGATCCCCCAACCCCATGATAGGTTCTACAGGGTCCCTGAAGAGGTCATAGCAGCATGGGCAATCAACCTGCAAAGGACAGAATGAGAGTAATGCAGCCTAGGCCACAGGGAAAACACAGGAGACAGGCTCCCTGGAAAACCACATCTCAAACCAGCACTGCTTCCCAGTGAGTGATGGACATACGCAGAGAGCCAGAGGCTCTGAGTCCCTTGTATCCTGGGACAGGAGAACCACACACTCGACTGAACACCTTCCTTAAACCCTGATGTCCTGGTCATTCTGTGGTCTCTCCTTTGGCTCTCTTCTGTGGTTTCTCTTCATTTCTTTCTTAGAAGGGCTGGTCCTTAACAAAGCTACCTAGAAGTTTCTGTTCATTCTAACTGCATAGTAAAGAAGTAAAGGTTTTCTGTTTTGTTTTTGTGCCTGACCTGGGGCTTGAACTCAGGGCATAAACACTGTCCCAGAACTTCTTTTGTTCAAGGCTAGTGTTCTACCACTTGAATCACAGCTCCACCTCCAGCTTTGTTGGGTATAATTTATTAATGGTAAGAGTCTCATGTATTTTCCTGCCAAGGCTGGCTTTGAACCATGATCCTCAGATCTCAGCCTCTGGAGTAGCTAAGATTTCAGGTGTAAGTCACCAGCACCCACCTAATGTATGCTCTAGCCATCCTCCTCCTCTTCCTCCTCCTCTTCAACTTTGCATAGTGCAGACAATGGCTATTCCTCTTCTTAGCTTTGTGCATTGGTGGCTGGAAGTTCAGCCTGAGAGCTACTCTACAAAGAGAAGGCCTTCAAAATCCAGGCCCATTTCCTTTAAGTTGCTTCAACTTTAGGAGCAGAGAAAAACAGAAAGAGCTCTGGAAAGCTCCTGAAAAGACGCCTTGCTCAGTAGATGAAGAGGCTCAGGCCAGGGCTAACCTCAGATTAGAGATTCACTCCAGACTCAAGACCACCATGAACAATCAGCAAGCAAGGAAACTTGGGCATATAAGCACAGTGCAAGTAGACGAGGAAAGGAAACAAAAGACGACACAAAGCAAATCCAGACCTCAGCAAAACTGTGTGTGGCACAAACCTGGTCAGCACAGATGGTCGTGTCCGAGTGACAGCATGGCTGAGGCACAGCCACTGCCCCACAGTCACAGGAAGCCACCCACCCGCCATTGCCTGCCCTCACCCAGAGCCCCACTGAGACTGCCCTGCGGCCATTTCTAGGCATTTCAGAACCCAGGAAAATTTAAAGGCCTGCTCCTCAAGAAAGCTTACTTTGCATTTATAAGACTACATGTGAGGGGCTGGGAAGGTGGCTCAGTGGCAAGAAAAAGCGAGAAGTGGTGCTGTGGCTCAAGTGGTAGAGTGCTAGCCTTGAGCTGAAGAGCTGAGGGGCAGCGCCCAGGCCCAGAGTTCAGGCCCCACCACCGACCAAAAAAAAAAAAAAAGACTGCATGTGATACTACAGTATTAGACTAGAGATTACTGATGTTAAGAAAACAGAGAAGAAAACTTACTGCATACGGCCTTGGTAGGGTTCACTTGCTGTCCTGCAAGAAACTGTAGGAGCTTCTTGATTTCTATGTGCACCTCAGTCAGCTCCCCGGGGCTTCTGTCTCTACAACTCTGAGAGGCTAAAAACAGGAATGTGTTTAAGTATATCACCAGAGGCATATTTGCTTAAATAAATGATTCACCCTCCCATTCCTCTTAGCACCCCAGAGGGAACTCATTAAACAAGCACTCGCTAAATCCTTAGTATTTAAAATACTAGGATAATTTTCAAGAGATCCTCACTTCAAGGCACTTTGAAATGCTTCAATTTCCCCTGTAGGTAAAACAAAATTGTATTAGATACTCACTATGAACTTAAAACCTGAAATACACATAATCAGTGCAAGGCCTCCCACTCTACAGCAGAATACACAAAGAAAACAGCCTGACAACTCCTGGGGAGGTAGAGAAAATGAAGTCCCATTTTGTGTTTATTAAAATAAACTGAGAGGCTGGGAATGTGCCTAGTGGAAGAGTGCTTGCCTAGCACACATGAAGTCCTGGGTTTGATTCCTCAGTACCACATAAACAGACAAAAGCCGGCAGCGGCTCTGTGGCTCAAGTGGTAGAGTGCTAGCCTTGAGCAAAAGAAGCTCAGGGTTAGTGCCCAGGCCCTGAGTTCAAGACCCAGGACTGGCAAATAAAGTGAGTAATTTTACACAGCAATGTCCAACCTTCAGAGAGATCTCACTATGTCCTTCACTATTTAATAAAACCCCCCTGCAAGATTAGGCTCACAGTTGTGTCTACACACAAACAGACCTTAATTTCAGGATGACCTAGGCCTAACTGATGTTTGGGAATAGACTTGCATCAGAAAATGATGTTTCCATCTCTGGCAGATACTTTTCTTGGGTCCTCTGTCTGCCTCTACTTCAGCTCAGCCTCCAACACACCTGGGCTGTGTGTTAAGTTGTTGAATGGCCCCTCTTCACTGCTGACTGGGTGAGAGATGAGAAATGTATTTTGAACCTTCTAATCTAACTAGAATGACTAAAGAAGGAGAAAATACAAAATGTATTTATCCTTCTGATTCCATGCCAGGAGAAACAGAAGCAGCAGAAGGGATCTGATCTGAGAGGACACCTAGCACAACCAAACTCCAAGCAGGAGGAGCCTGCACAGGCCCCCAGATGTCTGCGGCTGTCTATCCCCAGTTGTAGGGACAGACAGTCCCACCTTGTTCCTCTCCTACAGACCAAAGCTAACAGAATCCCAACCTTCTCACACTAAGGGAACTCAATGCCTATGCTATATGAAACACTTTATCGAAACCAAGATGTGACCCACGAGAAAACTTACCTAATGGAGGGTTTCCAAGACCCTTAAAATGAGTGGTAACACATACTAATTCAGTTTCTATCTTCAAGTTCAATTCTCCATTTAGGTTTGCTTCAATAACCTGCAAATTGAGTAAACTGAGTATCGTAAGATGGTCTTGACATAGGGAAAAGAAATGCAAAAAGAAAAAAAAAAAATCCCAAGATTGGTTTCCACAAAACAGGATGACAAGTGACCCCACAAAAACCTTACCTCACGATTCATCAAGGTCCTCCTATATAAACCACAGAGAGAAGATAAGTCCTGAGAGCCCAGAACCCAGAACCCTTCACGTAACAAAGCTGCCCCAATGGGGAGCTCAGTAAGCACCTTGCCTGACTCTGGGACTGGGCAAGTGTTCTGGGGCCAGGCAGAGCATCAGGGTTCTGGTAGGAACAAGCCCCTACATTACAAAGGCACAAAGTGAAGCAAGATCCCCAACTGAACAGGACAGACACCTTGGGAACCAAGAAAAGAAATGTCACAAGGGGAAATGAGGATTGGATCACAGAAAACCTAGGGGGTGACTATAGGACAGGCAGATTTTAACATTCTGTGGTTATAAAGCCAAAGAATTAGCTGGATCTACTCCCCTATCCACTGCCTCCTTTTCTCTTTTTTTTCTTTTTCTAGGTCTGAGCCGGTACTTAACTCAGCACCTACGGCTGCTTTCACTCATTGGCTAGCACTCTTATCAACTGAGCCATGCCTCCATCTCCTCCAATGCCTCTTGAAGGAATGAAACATCCCTTAGTAAAGGAATGTGATTCACTCACATAAAAGATATTCAGGCCTGAAGCATGGTAGTGTGTTGTACAAATGCATCAAACCATCTGCTCTTACTAGACATTTAACACACTGAGACCCATTTGCATGCCCAGATGCCAAAAAATGCCATTTCCAGGCTCAGTTCTGGGGTGCTGTGGAGTTACCAAGACTGGGCACTGCAGTGTGGCTAAGGCTGCCTCCCTCCCTTCTCCCCCAGCAGGGTCCTTTCTGACTCATCTCCCTGCCCTGAGACTGTCCCCACAGGTGTCTTTTCATGTTTCCCTCCCCATACAACCATAAAGGATTTTTTAGACTGCTAACCTCGCTCACGAGATGCTGATTTCTCCTCAATATGTGGGCTCTTGCCCACTGTGAGGCCCAGCAGGTCTGAGTTCATCTGCACTTTATGTAAGCATTCTCCCAACCAGTACTATGAGCAGACCACCCAAACCAGAAAGGTGAGCACACCCATCAGCTTTCACAGTGCCGTCCACATGTGGGGTGTCCTCAAAGTGCCCCAGAGAAGGCAGAGGCCCAGGAGAGAAGGTCTTCCTGTCCACACAGCTCTGCTGGGGTCTGTGTTTTAGAAATAGCTAACATTCCTCATCTTATATCTTAAAATTGCTGTTCTCTGAGTCTTTCTCATTCCAGAAACAAAACAAAAAAGGATTTCTGAAGTTAAATGAGCTCTTATTCCTGAGCCTTTCACATTAGAAACTAAGGTCCCCCATTCACTCACTGCTAATCCAGTACACTTACCTTTGAATAAAAAAAAAGTTTTCATTTTTAGCTTTTCTCTTTCATTAATTCAAAAAATATAACCCTAACTACTCTGGAGGCTGAGATCTAAGGATCACAGATTTAAGCCAGCCTAGGCTGGCTTACCTCCCATTACTTCCCATTAATCACTCAATTTTAGAAAACAGTTTGTTTTTAAATTAACCACTACAAAACTGGAAGTAGCACTGTGGCTCAAGTAGTAGAGCACTACCCTTTAGAACAAAGAGGCTCAAGGACAGTGCCCAGGTCCTGAGTTTAAGCCCCACCACCAACACACAAAAAAAATAAATAAATAAATAAAACAAAAAGAAAAAGAAATGAAACAACTCTTGTGAATGTCTGGGTGGTGATGTAGATTCTATAAAGCTGACCCATGACATCTGCTCATCTGTTTTAAACAAGGAAAAACCAAAATCCATAAATTCTCAGGGCATAAAAAAGTGATTTGGAAATAACAAAAACCCACCTGCAACTAGATGCACCTGAGGCTTACGTGCTCTCTGTGCACAGGAAAGCATTCAATTTTTTTAAAAAAAATAACAACCAACCAATTTCCTGACTATCAGCCACTCATGTTTGTTTCCAAATGCAGCTTACCCCTTCTACACAGTCAGTTCCCTGAATGTCAGGATAAGATCTGACTTCAACGATTCTCTTCATAATTGCTGAGTGCCAGAGATCTGTTCAGGTTACCCACCATAAACTTTAAGTTCACAAGTGAAAAGTGTTCCATCGCTGACCTCTACACCATATTCTCTTGAATTTTATTCTTTCTTGAATTTTATTGTTAAGGTTGATATACAGAGGGGTTACACAGTTACAAAAGTAAGGTGATTAGTACATCCTTGTGGAACAGTGCCACCCCTCCTTCATTTTCTCCTCTTATTCTGTCTTGTGAAGCCGTTTCTGGCCTCCCATTTGAACTCACTCACAGCATAGATCACTCACTGAGCACTGTCTCAGGACAGGTCTGAAGAAAGGCAGCATGGATACACCTAAGGGCTGGTCAGAAAAGCAAGGCAGGGACCCCAGCCAGACCTCTGGAACCAAACCTCTAAGCAGGGGACTCACATGTCTTGTTCTGAAGCAATGCCTCAGAACAAGGTAACACCTGCACCTTTTCCCTCCAAGAGCCACAGATAACCCACCCCTACAAGGCACTTCTTCCACTGAATAAAGTAAATGTGGGAGTGTGATGAGTCTTACTTCCCTAATTCTACTGCCTGTGTTATGCAAGCAGATGCCATTCTGTCTCTGGCTAATCTATCTCAACAACAGCCACTCTCCAAGTCTTTAAAGTACACCAGAAAACAGAGGAAACTTCTGATGATTTTACCTCCTCTGCCCTTCCTTCTATTTTGCTGACTCATCTTCATAGAAGAGAAAGTACAAACAAATAGATCCTCCCATTAATTGCCCAGCCTTCTCCCCTGGGCCACTCTCAACCTCCCAAGGTCCCAGGGTATACCCAAAGGAGCCAGCCTGGCAACTGGATCAACAGCATGCAGCTGCCAGCAGAAGCAACAGTCAAGATAACACACCATGCTTCATGAGAAGCAGATGTTGGATCCAATAAGCTCTGTGAAGATTAAGTTACATAGGGAAAACTCTCGGAATGAGTACAATGTCAGCACTGCTACTAAGCAGGGAAACAAATAGCCCATGAACATTTTCTAGGCTTCAAGTAACTTTTTGTTGTTGGCGGCGGTGGTCTTGGAGCTTGAACTCCGGGCCTGGGCCCTGTCCCTGAGCTTTTTTTTTGCTCAAGGCTAGTGCTCTTCCACATTGGGCCACAGCTTCCAGATTTTGGGTGGTTAATTGAGGATAAGATTCTCATGGACATTCCTGCCCAGGTTGGCTTCAAACAACGATCCTCAGATCTCAGCCTGAGTAGCTAGGATTACAGGCATGAGCTACAAGCACCTGGCTACAAGTAACTTTTATAATCTAAAGATTATAACTTGAAACTGTCCCTCTTGACCCATGCAGCAGTACTGATTATAACCTAAATGACAGCTCAACCCTGAGAGCTAGGCCACAAACATTAGAGGAGAGTTTCTGTCAGAGGCTGGCAGTTCAGGAGAAATACAAGGCTGTAGATGTACAGCATACACAAGACAGATCAGTAAAGAGCTTCCCACCAAGCAGTGGGGAAACAAAACAATGGTGAGAATGGCTCAGTGCTTTTCAGGAGATGACAGATGCAAGAAACTGCAAGAAGCAGCTGCAAACAGCAGTGGAAAAGAAGATCAGAGGTTCACATTGACCGAGTAGACTGTCACTTGTAAAAAATGCAGAGACATAGGAAACATAGTTCTGGGGCGAGTGAAGGAAGGGTTCAGGATGAGCTCAGATGTGAATGAGGACAATCCACACAGTCCCTATCACCTGCCATGCTGTGGTGTTTTTGTGAATGTGGCTGTAGGAAACCATCACAAAATAAAACACATAAAAGTGCCCACTGGCTGGGTGCCAGCCCTGCTGGACTCACTACTGGGGTCTGAGGGCCTCTGTCCACAGCTCAATGAATGATAGGACACTGCACCCATTCTCAATCACATCACTAATTCATCCTGTAACTCCAAAGAGTGTGCTTCCTTTGCATGATGCTGGGATCAAACAAACATGAGAGAAGAGTTCCTTTCAGAGGATGGCAGCTCAGGAGGAGTACAAGACAGTGACAGACTTACAGCACACACAGGATCATCATAAAACCAAAAAGAAAAGATATAGCACTCTGCTCAAAATGTAAGGAAAGAACCACTGGACACATCCTTAACATAAATATAGTCATGGGGGATTAAGAATAGATATGAAGGCTTCCCCAGTCAATGCGGGCTGAAAAACAGTAGAACTGGTTTCTACCTGCCATTGTGATAAGGTCTCTTCACTAGGTGAGGTCAGGTCCTCACAAGTCAGGCCTCAAGAATGGGCACCCTCTACCAGGGCATGGAGCCATAGGCAGGCTGTTTTCCAGGGCGAGCAGTTTGTGCAAACTAGACCTCATTCAAAGATTCTTTGTTAAAAAAGTTACAACTTACAAGGTGATTGCTGATATTTTTCATTTTTTCCACAATATTCTTCATAGTCTTCAAAACTGGCAAATAAATACTAACCTATAAAACCAATAAGAGAAATCCTAAATATTAATATGCTCAGTAGTGGCAGGGGCTCATAATTAATACTGGATTCATATGTGCTTAAGAATTCCGGGGGGTGGGGGGGTTGGATGTGTGTCAGTCCTGAGGCTTCAACTCAGGGCCTGAGCATTGTCCTTGAGCATTTTTGCTCAAGGCTAGTGCTCTACCACTTGAGCCACAGCTACATTTCCAACTTTTTGGTGGTTAATTGGAGATAAGAGTCTCATAAACTTTTCTGCCCCAGCTGGCTTTGAACCAAAATCATCAGATCTTAGCCTTCTTCCTGACTATCTAGGATTACCAGTGTTAGCCACTGCCACCCAGCTTGAAATTCTGTTCTTAAACTTTCTGAATAAACTTTTTCTAAATATGAAAAGCAAAGCAACTTTAAAACCTCACTGACTTACAGGTGTTAGAGCCAAATTAAAGATCTGAAATGCCTGCCTCCAGTTACCCAGGCAACTAAATCTCCAGAGACATTCTTTGAGTTTAAGGGCTATGGCACTTCAGTTGAGGTATCGATATACAGATCCTCAGGGAACTAAAACTAAGCACTTAGAGAGCCCCAGGTCTCAGGGGCCTTTTCTGTACTGTGTGCAAGTAGTTACTGCAACTCACCTGGGGCCAGGTTACCTACAGCTCTTTGCAAAATGTCAGCATTTTCCAAGGCAGTGTAGATGTCTTCTAGTGAAAGTCAATAAATAAATTGTGAGCAAGAGGTAAAGAACCAGCAGGAGCCAGTCAATGGCTCATGCCTGTAATCCTAGCTGCTTAGAAGGCTGAGACAAGGTGAGCTGTGTTCAAAGGCAGACAGGGCAGGAAAGTCATTGAGATTCTTATCTCCAATTAACCACCAAAAATCGTGCAGTGTAGCCCATGGCTCAAGTGGCAGAGTACCAGCCTTGAATGAAAAAGCTAAGGGACAACACCAGGCCCTGAGTTCAAGCCTCAGTACTAGCTTGAAAATTTTTTAAACAGTGGGGAAGGGGGGGGGAGCCAAAAGACCCTCTGATGTCATCTTTCTTTCCAGTGCCTATGGGTTCTTCTTAGCAGGACAATTAACCCAAGTTCTTAAGCCACCAATAATGCCTTGTGTGGTCCACCTACACATATCCCCTCATCAAGCACTACCAAACACAGAGTGGTACCTAAGCCCAAGAAGTCTAATGATTATGGGCTGTCTTTCAATATAGCTTCAGTTTTGTTTCGCTTAAAGGCCATTACTGAGTAAGACAGTCTTTCTCCTGTGTATCAAATCTATGGTGTTTCTATTGCATGCAACAACAGTTCTTAACACATGGCAGATTTTCTTAAAGAATTTTTAAAAAATAAATATCATGCCAGGAGAGGTGGCTCATGTGTGTATCCTAGTTCCTCAGGAGACTGGATCTGGAGGACTGCAGTGCAAAACCAGCAATAAAGTCCTCAAGATTCCATTTCCAATTACTCAACAAAAAGCTAGGCTGGAGACATGGCTCAAGTGGTAGAATGCCAACCATGAGCAAGTGTGAGACCCTGAGTTCAAGCCCCATCCCAGGATACAAACAAGGAATATCACTTTCTTTCATACATTGGAGAATTCAGGTCTGGCCTTTTAATAAGGTTGGACAACAGAACTGTAAGCATCACTTACATCAGAGTCCGGAACCAAAGGTTCTTGTAGGTCCTTCCACAATTTTCTAGGAATAATGTTTATGGGGATGTCATGTGTCACGATTCGATTGCTGCTTGATGCAGACAACTGCTAAGAAAGATTTTTTAAAAAATTATATGCTGTCACTATTGAAAACAAAATTAAAACCAAAGAATTGAGTGGAAAAAATTGGAAATCCCAAGTCTAAGTAGACAGTAAGACAGTAAGGCCCTAGATGTTCCAGTGGAACCAATATTTTGGTAAGAAAGCAAAGAAACCAGTCAACAGGAGACACTCATTAGAGCCTTGTGAAAACAGAAGGTGACCAGGCTGAATGAAAAAAACAAACAGGTTTACAACTATTTATATTTCCTCCAGGCCAAGACCCCTGTAGGCAATTTTAGAAAACCTGTTTCTGCTACTCACCAGCTCTACAGAGACAGTAAGGCAGGGAAAGTATTTATTGGTTAACTTGATTTTCAAGGTTCTAGCATTCTGTACAGTCTTCAAGGCTCGAGATAAGTTTTCCGACGTTAGTTCTAAATAAATCTCATTGTTGTCTGCCGAGACACCTTCCATTTGAAATTCGCTAAAAAAGTTCTCCTACCAGAAGAAAGAAAACAAGCAGTTGTGGGCTCTCTAGCCACAGCAGGAGGAGTCTGAGGGCCTCCAGAAGCTCTTGCTTACCTGCTCTAGCTCACACCACATGCTCACCCCTCCACTGGCCAGCTTGTCTGAGAGGATGAAGTTCAATTTATCTGGGCGGATGCGGAGGGTGCAGATTTTAGCAAGCTTGGCAATCATGTTACTGACTCCTAGAGCAAGAAGGAAAGAAAGGTGTTACTACAATATGCATTAGCTGTGCAGAATAATCACAATGTAAATTATCAGATTTTCTTTAATACCATCTAATATTTTGCACTATCTACTGTGACTTTTATGAACTACAAGCACATTTCCTATGTATTCAACATTAAATAAAGTTGAATGAAACTGACAGAATGAAAATTGCTATCTCTACATGACCCAGGTTTAAATGAGTATGTAATAAATGTGTGATAAAACAGTGAAAGTGATTTGTCATACTATACAAAGAGCTATCCTCAATTATGAATTAATATAATCTTAGTTAATAGAATACAAATCTGCAACCATATCTTTTCTAACACTTTTGTATTCTTTTTTTGTTGTTCCAGTCTTGGGTCTTGAACTCAGAGCCTGGTGCCATCCTGCTCAAGACTAGTACTCTACCATTTGAGCCACACTTCCATTTCTGGCTTCTCTGGTGGCTAATCAGAAAGAATAATCTCCCTGGAAGTTTCCTGCCTGGGCTGGCTTCTAACCTTGTTATTCAGATCTCAGTTTCCTGAGCCACTAGTACCCAGCTTTCTTTTTTTTTTTTTTTGGTCTATCCTGGGGCTTGAACTCAGGGCCAGATTGCTGTCCCCGAGCTCTTTTGCTCAAGGCCTGCACTCTACCACTTTGAGCTACAGGGTCACTTCAAGTCTTCTGGTGGTTAATTAGAGATAAGGGTCTCACAGACTTTTCTGCCTAGGCTAGCTTCAAACCTTGATCCTCATATCACAGCCTCCTGAGTAGCTAGGATTACAGGTGTGAACCACCAGTGTCCAGCATAAATTATTTTTAAGGTTGTGATTATTTTTTAATTGTGAAAGGTTGAATTTTTCTGTTGCCTTCATTTTCATCTTCTCTAATTTTAATAAATGGCCTTACATTGAAAATTGTAAATATATATACATATATCTATCAACAATTTAGAAATTATTGGCTTTTCTGTCCTTCAACTTGGGTATAAGTTAGCATAAGATCAAGAGCTGTAGAACCATACTTTTTTTGGGGGGGGGAGGGGGTCCGGTGGTGGGGCCTGAACTCTGGGCCTGGGTGCTGTCCCTCAGCTCTTCAGCTCAAGGCTAGCGCTCTACCACTTGAGCCACAGTGCCACTTCCGGCTTTTT